GCACCCCTGCCCATTGCCTAAGTGGGGAGCGCTGCCTGTCAGGGGGTGCACATACATCCCTGTACACCTGCTATGTGTCACCACTGGGATGAAGACTGAGAGGAGCATTCTAGATGAGGGTTTTAAAGAAGGGCCCCTGGGAGATGGTATGAGAAACCTGTTGGCCAGTGCATGACTGGGATCATAGGATGAGGGCTGGGGCAAGAGACCTACCTGGAGAAAAGCTTAGAAACCATGATAAGACTAGTAGAAAAGGTGCAAGATGAAATGCCTCTGTATTAATGCAAGGAGCCCGAGAGGAAAAAAAACAGGATGAACAGAGTCCTAGTTTGTAAAGAAAATAATGACTTAATTGGAATTGCAAAAAACTTGATGGGATAGCTCTCACTATTAGAATATCAACACTGATGGGCATAGTTTTTTTCAGAAACATGCAGGGGGCTGTTGCAGGATTTGCTATCTAAAGGCAGAGGTGGTGCCGCCTGGTGGTTGCTCTAATCCCATTTCTTCTTTTCTCTGGTTGATTCAGGTACTTTCCTGTCATGTCTTTGTTACCCAATCACCACCCCTATGTTCAGGCCTCTCATTCTGTCCCAGTCTTTGAGGGTCCTCCATGAAGTACAGCACCTTGCTTCCAGGCAACCTCATTGTCTCCTTCTGCCCCTTCAGCCACAACCTAAGCCTCCAGTTCCAAATGCAACGAGCAAAGCCTAGGCACAACTAATTACAGCTGGGGTGAGTCTCACCAAGCCTTCCCTAGACTTCCACTCAGTCCCACTGTCTTCTACCTGCTGTGGCCCTCCCGGGCCTAATCACCATTCCCTTAGTACCTGGTACTGCTTCTTAGCTTTGTATAAGAAGTTCCTTTGGCTTATACAGCCTGGGCCAGGCTCCAGATCCTAGCACTACTTCCCTCACCCCCCAGCAGGGAGGTCCTGCCTCTACCTCTGTGAAGATCAGCTTGACCCCTCTGCCATTGGTGCAGAGCTTATGTCTTCACAGCCTGCCTCTTCCAATGTCTCAGAAACTTAAATGTGCAACTCTCACTTTCCCACTGTCTCAGTAACAGGACAGGGTTCCCTGTTACAGGGGCATTGCACTGTATGTCAAGAATGTATAGATTTGCTCTAATGTCCAAAAGGAAGAGTAGTAGATCTATTGAGTGTACCTAGGTGTTATGGTGTCAGTCAACAACAGGCTACCAAATCAGGAAGGGGAGATAGATGAGCCATTGTTTTAGTATGTAACAAGAATACCTAAAATGTAAAATGCTGTCATCCCTTTACAGCTCAGCTGGTAAAGGAGGCTGTAGACTCAGTCTTTGTGGCAATACTTAGGTTGCTGGTTTGATTGTGGCATGAAGGAACAATTTTGGGGGTTGGACTAGACGACCCTTGTGGGTTCTTTGTCACCCAATGACTCTGTGAGAGGCAATGCTATGTCTGTTGCCCTACTAGGGTTGGTGTTAGAAGAAAAGTAAAAGATAGATGAGAAATGGTTTTCCCATTCCAGACGATTGTTCAAGATTCCAAACCTTTTTTGTCCCAAAGCTTGAGCATAAGTTGATCTCAAAACATGTTAACCAACCAACTATAGTAAACAGGAATTTCTAATTAGATTAATCAAAAATTTTTATTTGATAATTTCCACTTCAGTTTTGACCCTTTCATTTTAACCTAGGGTTAGTTAACTAAAATTTCAAAATAATTAAAACAAGAAATGAAATTTTTGTTTTGAAAATGTTCAAATGTGCCATTTTAATAACTTCTAAATGTTAAAAAAGCCGCCCCAAACCAAAACTGGATTAGGAGGTTTGTAAAAACCACCTATATCATGCAAACATTTTCACTCTTGGTAAACTGACATTTTCTGAAGAAAGAGAGAGCATTTTATCAGAAAATCCCTGATTTGCACATATAGCTTTATATATGAATACACTGTTGTACAAAGGAAACAGGAAGATAATATACATTATTTTTTAAATCATGAGTTCATTCTTTCCTTTTAGAATCTCAGGTCATTAAAAATACACTTATTTTTCAGCCATTCTTTTCCCAGAACCGCATTATAGATCTGAACCTGTAAAACAGGGAACATTTCAAGACTCTAGGATTGTAAATAGATTTTTTTTTTCAATTATGCTTCTGCAGTATTAATACAGAGGATGAGAGTGACTGGTGAAGTGTGATTCAGTCTTTTAGCTCCTGTGGTCCATGGAAACACTGAATGCTAATTTTTACTCAGAATAATCCTGGATGTAATAATCTCATTGTCAAACCAAGGTGTGTTGTTGCAGTTTGTAAAACTACACAGAGAAATATGAATGTGCAGCACTGGAATAGAGTTCCAAACCACTGGATTTCTTCTGCGCTGAATGATTAGTTTCAGTGGTCAACCAAGAGGAGATGCATGAAGTTTGATTCCTTCTCTTTCACAAGCAAGCATGCTATGCCATATAGTCCCTATGGGTATTCCAAAGCATCTATCCTTGGTTGCACTCCCAATTACAAGGAAGTACAGACAATGGTTTCTATAGGTTAATTGAATGGGTATTTTGCCCAGGTCTGTCTATACCAAGCACTGGCTCCCATTAAATGTCGAACATCGGTAGTGGGCTTCCTACCCTGGCAACAGGCTGCTATACAAACATGTAATAAACTCGCTGTAAAATTGGCAAATGCAGGATAATGTTTTTTGTCTAAGTTGTCTGTGAATCAGACATGCACACTTGAAACATACACACACCTGTGTCTGATACTTATAGGATGGAAGACCAGAACAAGCTATACTTACCACAAGTATACTTGCCATAACATCATTTAACTAAGTCCTATTGCTATCAACCTAAGAGCCAGGTCCTATCATAAGATTAAACATGAATCCTTCTCCTCCATTACTTGGTGAATTCTTTTACTAGAGAACAGGAGATAGAGGACAAGCTGTTGACAGCAAACTGTGCTTCCTCAGTGGCATAAGGGATAAGATGTATTGTAGGCAGTTCAAGGAGGATGCTAGATATGGAGACATGGTGGAAACAAGGAGGAAATGGGTAGGTAACAGAATTTGGATGATATGCAAAAGAGAGAGATGTTCAATGGGAGAAATACTACAGGTGATGTATGAGCCAGATGTGTGGAATCGAGACATTAAAGGAGAAACAGGCACGTAGTACACACATAAAATATGAACCAGATGGGTGAAGCATTAAGGAAATATTCAACATAAAATAGTAGGATTATGAACCAGAACTAGCACATAAACCAGAGCTGATCTACAAAGAGAAGAATAGCAAGATGTGCAAGGTGCAGATGAGACCTGAACCAAAGACCAGATGATTGTGTAGCAAATGTGGAACACATTAATGACATAACCTATCCTTCAGAGAGACAATGCCTGGACACAATCGACTGTATGCAAAACAGGTATAGTATGGTAAGAGTGGAAAGCTAGTGCTTGGTTTGGAGATGCTGTGAAAGTAGCATGAGATGAACACCTTAGATACCCAAAGAGGGGTTCGTGAAGCTGGGTGATGATGGGTGTAATATATCATCAATGCTTCAAGAAGGAAGATGACTGAAAGAGCAGATCCATCAAGAAGGAAAATGACTGATGGAGCAAATGAGCCATGTATGAAGCAGAGAAAGGATGAGTGCAACAGGCAGATGATGCAAAACCCACCCAGATCGTGTATGGAGCAGCTGTATTATTTATTTGGTTTATGGATAGGCCCAGACTTAATGTGTTTGGATACAATCACTGGAAGGCTGTTGTTTGAACCAGGTTGATTAGAATAAGTAGGCTGCGTAGATCTTAGTTTTCAGCTACTGGGAGTTATCTTCAAAGCCATAGGGCATAGATAGCACAAATGTGCAGGAGGAAGTATGGCATTGAAATCTGATGTCTGAAGCAGAGAGGTGATTCAAAATACAAGGCAGAGGGAAACTCAGTTTTAGCTATCCAATCAGTGATCTAAATTGACAGCACGCATTTGTCTGCCATGCAGAAGGAGATCTTTTTGATTCAAGTGAGCTGAAAGCCACTTGCTGCCTTGCAGACGGCACATAGAAAGTACAAGGCACACAGACGCTTCTTAATTTTGCATGGTTGTTTTCAACAAATGGCTTAAGACGAATGGGTCAGGTCTTCAACTGGCTGAAATAGTGGAGTTGCTCTGATTTACACAGAATTAAGATCTACTCCATCGTAACACCAGCTTTTGTCTCTTGCACTTTGTTTCCCTCCCCCGCCACATTCTACCTCCAAGTAAGGTACTAGTTTGACAAACTAGAGAAGACGGAGGGAGGGCAGGCACTATACAGTTTAGTCTTGTGCACAGCTTTTCTAGTGCACTCCTTTCTTAAAGAACAGCTTGAGATGCAATGTCAGCAGTAAAGAGCGGATATAACAGTCAGACAGATAGTGAAACAAGACTAGGAAATGCATTCCCTTATACCTTGCCAAGCAGGTTACACTGTTAACATAAAAAGGACAAGAAAGCTCTATGTTCCTTTCCATTATATCCAAGCTCCTCTTTCCAGCTGATTAGATATAGTATTTTTTGGAGAAATGCCAGCTGTTAGAATGCATAGTGAAAACGATCTTGCTAAATCAGCAAAAAATACTTAATGAGGTTGAAAATGCAACGTAAAAATGCGTTCATTGCATTAGTGCTTTCAGTGGCTGAGAGGAGGAATAAAACCCCAGCACTACATAGTCTCATACTTTGTGCATCATGGACTTCTCCCTTCCCCATTTGCATGGGTTTTCCCAACCCAGTTCATGCAGTAGTTATATTTCTTCTGCCTTTCCCTCCTGTGAATGAAATATGATAATAACGCAGAGGGCCACATGTGAATCCTTTGCACTTTGTAGCAATATCTCCCTCCCCTCCAGCAAATTAACAAGAGCCTTGTTTCAATATATTTTTGGAGGAGGGGAAATAAAAAAATGACAGCCAAAGAATGAAAGCTCGAAAGGAGATTCTTGCTTTTGTACATTACCTGGTGAGCACTGAGCGATGGTTACAGGCTGCAGCTTGTTGCTCCCAGCGCCGTGTGCTTAGAAACCTGCCTGTGCATCCTTAGTTTGGACTCTTCCCTCCCTACGAATGGAAGGGAGGAGGGGAAGGAATTGATCTGAGATGCACGCCAAAAATAAAAGCTGCCCCACGGCTCCTGACCTACCAGCTTTCTCTGCTCTTACAGGCTCGTAGCAAAGGAAGCTGGTAAAGCCATCATCCCCACTGGAGGGCATGCACTATGCTGCAGGGGATCCCTGCCAAGGGGAGATGGATGGGAGGGAGGGGATGGGGGAAGTAAAGCCTGATGGCATGAAAACAGTTGTGTTAGGCACTGTAAACCTCTACTGGCAAAGTGAAGCAACTGCAAGGGCTGCTCTAATAATACAGCAAATCTTGTACATATTTCTCTGTGCCTGTTCTTTTACCACCAGGTCCTACTATTCCCCTGATTCTCTTACCTTGGCTCTTGATGTGGCCCTAGCGGCTGGTAGAACCCAGAAGCCTATCACATGTCAGTGGTGTGCGTGTATGCATGCACCATGTTTTTGACATGTTATACATGCACTGTTGTGACCCCTGTTAACTTCAAAAGAGTTCTTGCAGGTAGAAATGAGAGTCCTAAGCCCAAAGGGTGCCAGCAGCTGCATTACCTTCATAAATCATAACTGCACCCAAGAGACAAAGCCACTGAAATCTTTAGAACGGCAATGGAGGGTCTCTCGGACTAGCCCAGGGATTAATGGCTATTGCGGTAAGAATAACCATTTAAACTATAAAAATGATGGGCCATTGGTGACTCTAGTTAAATACTGCGTGCCAAAGAGCACCGTGTTTCTATGATAACCATGCTTCCACGCTTGCATAAAAGCCTATAGCTCTTTCCTTGGATACTCCTCTTTAAATTTTGCTTGCCTGGTGGGGTTATAAATATAGAAACTTAAGCCTTCGTTTTTTTTCTCCAAACATGTCCCTCCCATTTTAGCATAATCTATGCAGTCCCTCCAGCTGTTCCTATACTTGGTATGCCCTTTTCCCCCCCACCCCTTCTCCTTCCTCCCCCGCCTTGCTCCTTCTCCTCCTGACATTGCAGGCCTAATGGCCAATCAGCGTCTCCAGAAGATCAAATGTCACTATAACATGAGGGCTTAATCACCTTGAGAAGTCTGCAGATCCTGCAGCCTGTCCCATTCACCAGGGGGCTCGGCACTTCTCTTGGCTGCCTCCTCTCAGGTAAGAAGGATGTCAGGCAAGCGCTATTTCTGTGAATGAATGGAAAAGGGCAGCAGATTTGGGGGCTCAGTCTAAATGGTGGGGTCCAGGGCATGGAATGACCCTAGCACATGGATCAGATTGAACTTTATGACCCTTGCACTCAGGTGAAGGCCCCATGGAGGGAAACAATTGTATTATTTCTCCATCCTACTCGGAGGTGGATTTGTTGACATTGTTCCAGGCCTGGGAATGTCCATGAAGCTCTGGACGGTCTGGGATATAATGGGGATTCATCTGGACCATGGAAAAGTCCCCACCAAAGTCAAGGCCTTGTGAATGAGAACTGTATGACGTGACATCTTCCATGACCTTGAGGTTCCCAGGAATGATAAATTATACAGTACAAAATGTGACCAAATCCCTCTGTAAAGCCTGAATGAATGTTTAAAGCACTGCCACCAGTTTTGTACCCTGCCCAAAGAGGTGGCAAACAGTTTAGACTGTGGGGAAAGGAGTAAATTGGGAAGAAATCCTGTGTCTTGGTCATTCCAAGAGGGAAATCGAAGGGCAAGAGGAGGAGCTGGAGAAAGGATGAGTAGGCTAGTGGCTTAGATAAGCTAAGTATTAGGTCTTAGAAGAGAACTGGGAAGGGATGGAAGGAAAAATGATGTGAGCGAATCAAGAAGACCCCTCCCTTCTTAAAAACAAAGAGAGAGAGAGAAAGAGTGTGTGTGTGTGCGTGTGTGTGCGCGCGCGTGCATGCGTGTAAGAGAGAGAGAAAAGTAAGATTCTTCTGGTATGCCAAGATGTTGTGAGCTCATGAAATATAGCTGGTATCTCTTTGAGATCTGACTGCTGGGTGTGTATTGCTATGTGTTGCTAAGGATGCTTTGAAGTCAAGATAGTCCAGAAATAGACTGTTGGGGGCAAGGGAAGGGTGGTGCAGAAAAAAAAGTTTTCTTTTGTGTGCTCTCTGCTTTCTGTGCTCGCCCATAAGAGAATTCCAGCAAAGATGCTCAGACCTGGCCGGGGCTAAGTTATTCAGGTAGTCACTTAAAGGGTTCCATGGCTATTTGGGTAAGTTCAAAAGAAACCTTAAAGCCATTTTAGATGCTGCAGAGGGTGAGCTAAGTTTCCAGTGTCCAAGCATAGTGGCCATCTAACTGCCGGTAGCAGATCCCGTCTTGCGGATGGTAGCACACAAAGAAAGCAAGTGAAATATCTGGTGATAAAGAAAATCTGTAAAAAAAACAAAATGAAACCAAAAAACCCGTGAGCTCAGGCATACCCTAAGATGCGTTTTCTCACTGTTTTTGCTCGATGAGCGAAGCTGCTTGATGACCATGAATTCCTCCAGACTCCCCCACGCCTCCTCCCTCCTTCTGAAGGCCATGTGGACTGTTATTACACAGATGGCTCTTTGGTGTGTGTTTCTCCTTAAGCAGCAGGACTTTAATTACCTCTGAAAGCTGGAGGGAGGGAGGGTGTCAGAGGGCAGGGCACTGAGCACATACTCCATGCACTGGGCTGTAATTGAGGCCAATGGCAAGGCAGTCACAGCTGAACACAGCTGCATCATGCCCAGCTCTTGGGGTCAGAAGAGGATAAGCTTTGGTGGTACATGGCACTTTTTGCCCCAGTGCAGCAGTGTTGAATCCCAGGGTGAAAATAAACCCTAGTACAATCAAAGCACTGTTGGTGATTACAAAAGATATACAAGCATTTTGGGGTGGGTAGATGTCCATATGATGAGTGATTAAAAGGGGTGGTTTTCCAGGAAAGGGGGGACTGCGATTTTGATTTCTCTTTCTTTTAATTCTTCTTCTTCCTAGCAAATCCTACCTGGGAATCAAGTGGACTGGATGCCCCCGGAGTGCAAATAGCCAGGATTATGGTTGTTTAGGTTATAGGCTCCTAGAGGGCAGGAGCCATCATTTTTGCTCTGTATTTGTACAGCGCCTAGCACCATGGCATCCTGGCTCAGGGCTGTGGCTCCTAGGTGCTTCTGCAGTACAAATGGTAAATAATAGCAACTGTGTGAGGTTTGGGTAAGATGGGGTTTTCACTTTGCTTGTTGGTTTCTGGCACCAGATATAGAATCACTTTATCTTCCAAACTAGTGAATAGTTCGGAGAGGAAGAATTCCACTTGTAGGAGGGAGAGAAGGGGAAGTTTGTAGGAAATGCATCTGAAACTTTATTAGATGTGTCAGTTGTATGGGGGCTCCTGCCAGGGCTCTGTGGGCAGCTGCTGCTTGATAGATTGTACCGAGCCATCTTGCCTGACAGCTATTCCTGCCAGGGCTAATCTTTGATGCATGTCCATTTTCTTTCTCCTCCTTTCTCTAATAATCTTACTACCTTGCATCCCTTGTATGGCAGGCCACATCTTGCTAAGAAGAGAAAATGATTGATGGCGGGGTTGTTTTCATAGATGGCCTCCGAGGTGGAAGGGAGTGAATTCCATCGATCATCTGGCAGTTGGGTGCATTCTCAGCTGCTAAGACGCTCCCTTGGAAATGGCAACTCTGCTTCTTAAGCCAAGAACAGAACTGATGTGGACCAAATGGAATATATAGTTCACAGCAAAAGACATAAGCAGACAGTTTACTAGGCAGAATCATGGTCTATTGGGTTGACTTTAATCTGATTAGGGATGGAATATTGACCTTTTTCATTGAACCCAGGACCATATCTGGCGCATCATTCATATGCAGTATAAAATAAATATACTCGCTTAATTCTTCTGCTGGCTGAATGGTGAAGGAAGTGCAGATATCTTAGAGCTCAGTTTCCTTAGGAAAGAAATATCGGGGCCTAAGAAAATAAAATAGAACCTGTTAGGAAACAATTTGGAATTTAGATTCTTGAAATCAAAGTGTTACCTGACCTCTTGCTTTGATATAATTAGGTTTCAGAAGGCAGACTGCAAGTTGGACATGTTTTATTTCCAAATAATGGGTATTATTACTAATTCCTTCTTCATGTGCACAAAGCTCAGGCAAAGATCAGGGCCCATTTTACTGGGCACTCTTCAAACAAAATAAAAGCTAGTTCCTGCCTCAAGCGTCTAACAGTTTGCATATTTAGATGCATTTGTTTTGTGAGATCTGTGATAATGTTGTCTTCATCAGTAGCCTGATCCAAAGCCAGTTGGAATCTTTCCATTGACTTCAGAGCCTCAGATTAGGCTTTAGATTAGCTGCAGAAATTATCGCTGTTTATTGTTTGCTTTCTCTCTCTCTCTATTTTGTTGTAAGCGTGGGTTCATTTAGTCACTGTTTTAATTAACAAAGCAACTACACAGCTAAAATCAGGAATACAATAGTCTTTCCTCAATATTATGAACACATCAGATGATTACAGTGCTTTGGCTACTATTATTACCAATAGAAGTTTTGTCATTGACTTTAATGGAAACTGAATAAGGCTCTCACTTCTCAATGATTCCTTTGAGATCTGTTAAGTGTTCAGTCATGCTGTCCTTTCTTAGGGAAGGCTAGCTTAACTGAAGGGGTAGCCTGGATGAGGGCAGCAGTATAAGACAATGAAGTGCCAGTTTATGTTGATAAGATTAATGCACTTTATTGAACATTTGGCATAAGGGCCATTTTCAAATGTTATGTCCAGGTCTAGTTGGGGGATTTTTTAAATCAATTCTGGCCCATTGGTTTGTTCACAGTGTTTGTCATGTTCTTTGTCACTGTCATCATCTTATTTAATTATTTTTACCTAGTGCTCAAAGACCCCATCAGAATTGAGGCCTCCTTGGGCTACGAACAGATACAAATATGCAGACCCTTCCTAGTAGAGCTTGCCATCTAGTCCTGTTTCATGGCCTGCTGATATGTGCCTTGCAGAATCCTGTTGGCTGGCACAGCCCTTGGGCTGTCAACAAGTATGGAAGTGTCTAGTACAACACCTGATACGCAGTGTCGTGGAGGCCAAATGGCAACTGGATGAGCTCATTCTGGGACTCATGAGAAGAAGGCCCATTTGTGTGGGGCCTCATTTAAAGACTTTTAAGGAGCTATGGAGCAGGCCCTTAAAGCAGGGCAGTCTGGTACTGCACCGTATTTTTGCCCTCAACCTGGTCCTGCAAAAATCACTTTTATAAATATGCGCTGAGAATTTGAAGGTTCTCTTTCAAGATGATCCACTAATGCAACTCTCACTCCCATGGAACCGAACATGTGAGAACAAAGGGAGCACTTAACTCAAAATCATTTGTTATGTTCAGATTTTTAAAAAAAGCAAAATTCAGAGACTAACCGAATGGAGGGATTGACCAAAATTCCCACAATCCCTTAGGACAAACATCTAGACTGGAAGAGGCTTATGGCAGGCTTTCACAGACGTTCCCCTTGACCCAGAGTTTTCTCTGCAAGGACTCTACTTCCCCATACCATAAAATAACACCACCAGGTAGTACTCTTAATAGAATCATAGAAAATGAGGGGTGGAAGGGACCTCAGGAGGTCATCTTCTCCAACCCCCTGCTTAAAGCCAGACCATTCCCAACTAGGTCATCCCAGCTAGGGCTTTGTCAAGCCAGGCCTTAAAAACCTCCAAGGATAGAGAGATTCCACCACCTCTTTAGGTAACCCATTTCAGTGCTTCATAACCCTTCTAGTGAGAAAGTTCTTCCTAATATCCAACCTAAACTTCCTTTGCTGCAAGTTGAGACCATTGCAGCAAATAATAGCATAATAATAATAGCATACGAGCAAATAATGATTTATTTAAACCATGGTAATACCAAGAAGCCTGCACCAAAACTAAGGCCCCCATTTTTTCCAGGCAGGATGCAAATACGTAGTGGGTGCATCTACACAAGACGCTTACTGCACAGTAGTTTAATAACACTGCACAGTAGTGTGCCGGGCAAAATCCGTGGTAATACGCTACTGCGCAGTGTTATTAGGCTACTACACAGTAAGTGTCACTAAAAACCTGTGCCCTGGTGCTACTGTGCAGTAGCACGAGTCACTGCACATTGATTTAGTACTTGGTTATCCAAGTACTAAACTTAATGCTCAGTAACTATGGTGCATTAATAAATGTGTAGACTCACCCAGTAAGAAGCAGTTAAACAAAGGGTGGGAGAAAGGGAATGTTATTGCCTCATTACACAGAAGAACAATTTAGGAACAGAAGTTCTGATTCAGGAAGCCTATGGCTGAGCTAGGAACTAGAAATCTCAACCCAGAAGTGGGGAAATGCTAGGGGCTCCATGAACCACACAAGGTCTATTATTGATTTTATGTGACAGGTGCTCAGCTGTCATGGTGATAAGCAACTAAAACACAAAAGAGAGAGAAATAACTGGATTTAATTCTAACCAGTAGTAGTATATCTATATCAGTTAGTTGGGGTATTTATCATGTTGTCCAGCGTTATAGCTGGGAGATGGACAGGATCCCTTATAGGGGAGAGCCAGAGCCCATGGGATTATTATAACCATCTGAAATAGAAACCTTCTGAGCTGCAGTTGTTCCTTTTGGCCCTAAATCAGTCTTCCTGCTCCTTCAAGACACCTCTCATATATCAGCTGAGTAATGAAGTCATGAAAGCCACAGCTTGCGTTCTCTGCCCTGTTTTCTAATTTAAGACCCTTCATGGATTTAGAGGAAGTTTGAGTGAAAGTCCACTCCTCACCAGTTTATAATCTCTCCTTCCCTGTTCCCTCTGCCCCCACCTAGGGGACAGTTAGCTCTTTAAAAATAGGTTGCTGAGACCCACGGCCTCTACCTATCAGATGGATCTACTGATGTCAGATCCCCATCTACCTCTACAGAGAACAGTGTGTGGTGTTACTAGTTCTGTAGTTTGCACAGGAAATGCCACCCCCACTTTAAATCATAGAGATGACCAACCTTTTGTGTGATTGAATTTGCCTGGCTCTGTTGAAGTCAGTGGAGCAATCTCTGATTTATACCAGCTGAGAGTCTGACCCATGGGTTTGAGGCCCAGAGAGGACCAGTTAAGTCATCCTGTCTGACCCCTGTATGTTTCAGCACTACGTTGCCTATACCGTCTCTGCCCTGGTCCAATGGGGGATAGGACCCCACTGGCCTGGGTCCGAGAGAACGTAGGATCAAATTCCTTTTCTGCCACAGACTCTCTATAACCAAGACTCTGTGCCTCCCTTCCACATCTGTAAAATGGGAATAACAACAAGTCCCTACAGGGATGTTATGAGAATAAGACCACTGAAGACTATGAGGCGCTCAGGCACAGCCAGAACAGGGGGAGCTGTTTTAGACATGCCATTGTTTGATGCATTTCAGTGCCCACCATAGGATGTGAGTATCTGTTGTAATTAATACCATAACTGGCCAAGTAATATTAATCAAAAGATCTCTTCTGCGAACTTCAGCAGTACCAATCTCTCAGCTGAGTCAGCGAAGAATTGTTCACATCATTGGTCTAGTTTTATAAGCCTGACATTACCCGTTCATTAATTTATTTGACAGTTTTGGGGTTCCTGCAATCAAATACTGTAGTTAAGTGCCAATGATTTTTTTACCTTTTTCCACTAGCTGTGATATATGCCTTGGACCTGGGGGGGCCTCCCACTTGCACTAAAGCAGTGACGTGAGTAATGCTGCTGAACTTTGTGTATTAACACAGGTGTCAAATGGGTGGGAGAGGACAATCTGGCACCCATTACATAAAGCTGGGCCTCTTTCCAAACATCCCTGAAGTTTTGGAGGTGCTTCTCATATGATACCAGGTTCAGATCTGAAGATTTTGCAGCTAATCAGTTCTCCTAGGAAGCTAATGGGCTCTATCTGTTTAGGTAACTTTCTTTTCCAGTCCACTCCTCCTCATTTGATCTGACCAGCTGAAGCCTTTACTGTATTATAGTGGCAGTGGGGGTTTACTGCTCTGTAGGACACCAGATGCATCGCTTTTCAACTTCAGATGTCAACCCACCTGCTTTTGTCTTGGAGTGTTCTGAGATGCTGCTAACTTGTCTCTTGCTTTCCTTTTTCACTTAGAAACCCACTGCCAACATGTCTGACACCGAGGACGTGTAAGTAGAGAGGAGACTGTCTCCATGCTAATCTGTTCAGTGGGGCACTTGCAAGCTAAAACAGAGTTTCCCTGTAAAGCCGTAAGGCTGTGTCCAAAGACAAATGCGTGGTCCAGAGCCCATCAGAGTCGATAGCAAGAGGCCTAGGGGCTTGGGCACTGGGAGTTCAAGTGCAACACTCCCTTCTTCCCCTGCCTTAAACTCCCACGATATTCTTGCTGGGGAAGGTTGACTAGTGTGGTTAGGCATACCTATCCTGGTATAAATCACCATGGAAGGTCCAAAATAACACCACCAAAATTAATTGAATTGCTTGGCATTCCTACAAATGCAGGTTCAGAATACAGAAGCAGAGGTATGGGGAGGGTATGAGTTAAGGGAATAGTGGCTGAAAGTTTTCTGTTAAACAAAAGTAAGGAAAAGAGCTCAGTGTGACCCGAACAGAATTTCAGTAAGGAGAGGGTGAAGATTAGAACTGGCAAGAAGCCAGTTGTTATCACCCCAGAAGCCAAATGAAGCCGTGCCAGTATCATGCATCACTCTTACCCAGGAGACTGCACAACTTGCAGAGTCTCTGCCATTGCTGATCTGGACTTACCTCGTCGTTTAGAAGTAGGTTTTACCAGTGAAAACTTTTAGTACCTACACTTCCTATCAGCAAACACTTAACCATGTGAGTCATTTTATAGATGTGAGTCCTTCCATTAAATTAGTGGGACTACACATTCATATAATTTTACACCTGTGAATCAGACTTTGCAGGACAAGAGCTGTACTTCAAAATGTTAGTCATTTTATTAACCTAAAAATGAAAGGGGGAAGGGGGAAGGGAAAGTTTCATGTATGTCAAGTAAAACTGTGGCACTGTACTTAATAGCTCAAAGTAGCATATTAACACAGAGTGGAGGAAATATAAATCCAGTTTCAACAAACTCTCTTTCTCTTTTTCTCTACAGGGAGCAGGTAGAGGGTAAGTCTTGAATCTGCTCATGCCTAATTATTTAAACGACAACCTGATATGTCAACATTTTAAAATGTCATTTTCTGTTTTATTTTTTGTTGAATGTTGTTTTTATTTAAAAAATGCTCCATATATGGATGTATTCTGAGCAAGATCTTCAACAGGTGTTAATATGCGTGAGTCTGTCAGCTTCAGTAGAGCTATTTTTGAGAGATCCTCATTCAGATGGTGTATATCAATGGTGTATATTCAGCTACTGACATACCAGATCTTGATACCGTTTCTTGCACTGAATAGCATTGACTTGAGTATTCCTATTTAATTCAGTTGGAGCTTGTGAACTATAAGGTGCTATTCCATAAATAACGATACTGGAATCTAACTTGTAATATCCAGTTTCTGATGAATATCTAATTTAAGTTTAAAGTGAGCTTTTAGCAGTAGATTCAGATTCTGTTTTGCTGTGCAGAGATGCCTTGTTTTGCTTTTTTTTCCTGCAGGGCTACTGCCATCTACTGGTGATATTTTTTAAACTGGCTTACAATATTATTTGCTCAATATTTTCTTTTTACTGCTTTTATTTTTATTGGTCTTAGCCCCTTTGAGTTGATTCTTTTTAACCTCTAAAATACTTTTAAGTCTTGATTCTCTATGCAAAGAATACAATTCAGTAATATAATTTTTCCCATATTTCTTTTCACTTTCTAATACCCCTTCTTATCACAGAATTCCATATTTCTTTTGTTTTGGAGATATGCTTTCTCAGCAACTGCCTGTTTTGTGCCCCCTTCCTGTGCAAGGTCATATTTGCACCTCTCGAACAAGCATACTCTATGTTTTGTTATGATATTATATTGTATGTTTGCTTGTGTTCATATGTGTTACAGGCTAACGTCAATGGTCAGCAGACTAGGCTTTGCTTTATTGTAGTCAGACACTTGACTGAATATAGCAAATGGAGATGCTGGGCCCTTTCTCATTTCAGTGTGGCTCCTTTTTGATCCAAAGCCCACTGACATCAATGGAAATCCTGCCATTGACATCAGGCCTTAACTGGCCAAAGCTTTCCCTACAGTGTAAAGATTTTATAAATATTTAATCAACATTTGGACCATTTTAGTCAACATTTTTCTTGACTTAGCATAAATTGCAGCTCCTGAAAGTGCTCTACTGAAAAGCCCAACTCAAAACTTTCCGTTTAAATGTGTGACAATTTTACCCACTCTCACTTTTGGTTTCTACTTTTTTTATGTCCTCTTGATGTCAGATCAAGTGACAGGGTCATTACTGAAACAATTCTGCTAGAGTTATCCACAAAATGGCACATGGATGAAGCCATTGATTCCACAGCTGTGTAGTGGTAGGGACTTGTCTCAGGGTTTGAGAAACATAGGCAATTTTGTTTTTAAGATACGTTTTATTCAGCTTAGTTATCCCATTGGAGAACATTGGTGGTGGAGTTTTATGGAGTCAGACAAAGCAAAAATTCTCTGGACGTGATTCTGATCCTACTTGCATCAGTTTTATACCGCTGACTAGACCTCCAGACTAGACTAGAGATCCTCTTGATTTACACCTGGGCATATTGGATCAGAGTCAGAAATTTTCTCTCCAAGTGGCTCAAGCAATTTTTTTTAAGCTCAGTGCAGAGAATTTCTTCTAGGCAATGATGATTTTTCTGCTTTTGTATGATTCTCTGATTCTGTGCTTTGTCTAACTCGTTAACTCCACACATCTTGGTCTTTTGTTGTCAGTACTTCTTATCAACATGTCACTCTTTCTGGTCTATGTGCTTGCTGTTGATTTTGCTGCTTTTTTAATTTTAATGCAGAGGAATATGAAGAAGAAGGTAACAAAAAAACTGGAATGTAATTTCTCTTTCTCTGATCCTTGACCCCAAATCTTTACTGCCGGTTATTCAACCATCTCTTTGTTACTCATTGCTAAAGGTGATCTGAAACACCTTGTTCAATAAATCATTCCAAAATATTCCTGATCCAACTATGTGGCTAGGCCAATGCCATGAAATTCAGAACTTGATGTGACTTTCACCATTCCCTTGATATTTGGTTTAGTCCATTACAAGAGGCTAGTTCTGAAGTTCATAGTTGAATCCACATGTGGACTTTCCCTAAATTTGGGGTTTTAAGATCTGAGATTTGTATAGCCTCTATACAAACCTATTCCTGTACAAACCCTGCACAGGCACAATCCCTATTGCCGTCAGCAGAAGTTTTGCCTGAGCAAAGATCATATAACCTATCCAGAAGTCAACCCATAGAAAACAATTTGAAACAAGACAGTCAAAGCACGTATACTGTTTCTTACTTATCTGCCAAGCTCGGTGCCCATAGGCATTGTCCTATGCCTTTGCCTATACAAAGTATAAGAAAAGCAAGGGCTACAGAGCTTTGTACCTTTTAAGGCCATAAATAGGTCTGGCAAACAAAAATTCACTGACAAAGGTCAAGGTTTTTTTGGTTCATCTTTAGCTGGCCTATGATTTGACAAGCTCCTATGGAAATATAGCAGAGTGGAAAAGATGGAGTATGAAAGGCTCTCCCCCTCACATCTTCACTTGAGATATTTTCTTTTGTAATATTTCTTTTTGCCTGTAGTAGGGAGAGGAAGAGTTCAGAGATGCAGCACTATTGCCACTGCTCATATATGGGCATTCTGCATATTGATGACATGTACCCAGCCTTCAAGTCAGGGAGGTGTGTTTCAAAACTGGCTTCCTTTCAGCCCAATTTTTATATAGACTAAAAAATTCTATTTTTTCATGGAAAAACTGGGTGCCCATTTAAAGAAGTGCTGAGGCCAGTTGAACTCGTATGTGCACTCAGGTTCTGAGCATCTTGGTTAAGGGTGACATTACACATTACACTTAGACTATACCAGGGGCACGTAAAACATGAGTGTCTGTAAATTAAAACTTGCTAACTCGTGAGAAGTGCCCTCTGAGTATCTCAAAGTTACACCACTTCAGGCAAGAATTACCTCTAGGCTGTGGTACCTATTTCGTGTTAGGATGATGTCAATCTGCTCCATGGAGATAAAACAATCAATTTACAGTCCTCCAGCATCCTAGGATGCACCACTTCCAACCCTCCCTCCCACCTCCACCCAGTGCAGGGATAGAGCCCAGGTGTCCTGGCTTTTAGTTATTTCCCTGCTCACCAGCCCCCTAGTAGCCAGTCAGAGTTGTGCAGGCAAGAAACAGTATTCGCTCACAGCACATTCTAATGTTAATACTGCTTAATATTATAGTAAATGTAACATGCAACGTCACCCTTAGTCTTCCTATAAAGCTGTTAAGAACCTCCCCCCCTGTTTTGAAAGCAGAGATTTGCTAAGAGAGGTTATGATGCCAACCCTGAGCTCCATGAGAAATGTTCATATGTCACCTACTGAACCTCAGAAATGTTGTGTACTCCGGGCACTCTCACCATTGCTGCTATGGGTTCCTTTCTATCAGTGGTAGTGATGCAGGGTTACAAATGTAAACAGGTTGCTGGCATCTTAAGGACTGCATTGTATAGACTTGCTCAGAGAGGGGTTAGATGTTGGCTTATAATGCCAACAGTCATAGGGAGTCCTGCATACACCAGTGCTTCTACCATTGCTGTTCATTAGCAGACCAGCGACAGAAGCAGTGGTAAGAAATTTTGTGTAAATGAAAATACAGATTCACTTTATACCCTGTACCCCCTAAAATGCCTCAATGCGCCAAGTCTCCCTGAGTGGTAGAGCCATTGTTCTTGTATTGGAGAAGCAGCTTACAAAACAACAGATGCATGAGTTAATGTGGGTGTAGGTGCCATTGATACTCCATATTTATTCACTTCTTGTCAAACATGCAAAGAGATGACATAGGTTGTTAATAATACAGGCACATTTTCCCAAGAAAGGAGTTTCTTTCTTCTCTCCTTCATGTCTTTCTCATTTCTTACCTAACTCTCTTCTCCTTTTGGGTTTCAAAAATTAATTATTAATACGAAATTAATAGGTCAGGTGATTTCTCCCTCCCCCCTTTCTCTTTAATTTGCATGTTCCTTTTATCTGAGGTGGTTTCCCTTGCTCTCTTATGGTTTTTCCACTTGTTTGACCTTTGTGTTGCCCTCTTTTGAGGTGATTCATTTACTTCTCATATAACTTCTTGAATCTTTTTCCCCTAAACCTGAGCTCACAGAGTTCAAATACTTTAATAATTTTCTGTTTTATTTCCTTGCTTACTGTTGCCTCTTGTTCCATGACATTTATCACATGAGGAAGTTCATGAAGAAGGTATGCAACATGACTTCTGATTTATTTCTCTTCCAATTTTGGAAGAGGATTTTTTGTGTAGGAATCCTGAGGTGACAGAAGAGAAGGAATAAGAGAGAAAACAGCACTGAAGGTCCAAGAACTTGGTCTGAAGCCTATTGACATTAGACTCCACAGATGTCAATGGTAGAGCTGGTCAGAATTTTTTTTCCTATGGAAAATATGAAGGAAACAAACCATCAATTTATTTAATTTAATTTTTCCACAGAAAAGTTTGACTTTTTGGTAAAAATTGCAGTATTCCATCCTAAAATAAAATAGCTCATCCAAAAATTGAAATTTTCTGGAGCTTTGAAATGTCAAGGAAAGATTTTACCACCTTTCCTTACCTTTTCTGGCAAGGTTCAAAATTTCCAAGATGGATTTTTTTGGAATATCAAAATCTCACAAGAAACTTGACCTAGCCTTGAGTCAGTTGAGAAATGTATAAAAATATCATTAAAACGTTCCAAGCCCCTTCTGAGTCAGTCTTTCATCAGAAATAAAATTTTGGAAAACTTCGACCAGCTCATAATAATAAGAAATAATATAATCTATATTATTACTCTTATTATTCTTTGGCATGTTTTTTTTCTATATCCAGTATTTAGCATCCCACAGCTTGCCCTTTCAATTCTTTTGAATGTTATTAACTTTTTCTTCCATTCCATAATTCCTAACTTTCCTCCTGTACCAGCCCCATGAGTTCTAAAGAGCTTTAGACTGTCTTAATCAGCTCTTTTAATTTTATTTTTTGCTGTTGCTTCTTGTTCCATGATGTGTCCCACGCAGAAGAAGTTCATGAGGAAGGTATGTGACATGGCTTCTGAATTCCATGCTTTTTATTGGCAGTGTTAAGTCGCACAATAGCTCTTATGGTGGTGAAAGGGGATAAGGGACAAGGAAAAGAAAACCCTCATGATGCATTATCACTCGCATGGCATCATTTGTTTCCAAAATGTTCATCCTGTTCATTATGCTCTTTTACATCCTGCCATTCTTGCTTACAAATTGAAGTTTTGGATAACCTCTAAAGGCTTTGAAAAGCTTAGTTGGAACAAAAGATATTACATTCTCTACAGATGTTGGTCCTTATCTTCCCTTCACTTTTACCAGTTTTCCAATGGCATAATTGCATCAATGTCACATAAAACCAAATGCATGAAGTTATGCTACCCAAAAAAAAGAAGAGCTTATGAGTAAGATTCAGATGAATCTGTGCATGACAGTGGCACGGGGGTACTAGCACAGTACACTTTTGGAAGTTACATAGGTACAGGTATCAGAACTAAGATCTAGAAACAGGAATTTACTCTTAACAAATGAGAACGCTGCAAGTCTACATTGTAGGCATGAAGAGTAAGTTCATTCTACTTTGGTGTTACATGTTCACTTGCAAGAGTTGCAAATCATTGGATTGTAGTGACCTATTAAAGTAATACATATTAGTAGATAATCCTCACCTGAAAGGGAACTTTGCAGTGAAACAAGGGCACTTAATATGTGCTGAATTGCTTGTATGTCCGTCTGCTCTCATTTTAATTGCGCTTAAGTGGTAAGTTAAACTTGCGAGACCAGCCTTATTTTAGACTACTGTTCTGGGGCATGTTTAAAGTGAGGGGACCCACCAGTATCAGCCTTTCAGATCAGTACTTATTAATACCAATTTTTTCTTCATTATGAAGGCTTTACATTTCTTACCATGCATTTGCATGTTCCATTTCCCTGTCTCCAGACTATCATATCCTATCTTTTTTTCCATTTCACCCACCCTCTGTCCTTCTCACATTCCCCTCAACCTTGGCTCAAAGTTGTTGTAATCATGTGTTCCTTGTTCTCATTCTCTTGTTTTCCATCATGTTGGTCTTGTTCCATGACACTTCCCACCTGATGAAGTTCATGAACCAGGTATGTGACATGACTTCTGAATTCCTCTCTTCTCATCGTGCATTACTATGTGAAGGAATTCAGTGGTGGTAGAAGGGAACAAGACAGTCATATTACATTATCGCTTACATTATCTTTGCTTTCAGGCTCTCTTCCATAACATTTTCTCTATCAATTAACAAGTGATAGTTAACTAATCTATGAAATGTGCTTCCCATTTTAATATGCTGGGCTAAATCCTGATCTTCACATGGAGCTAACTTGATTTATGCTACTTGTACATCAAGCCTTGTAGCACTTCTGAGGGCTCAATAAAATTGGTTATTGTTTTTTCTAGAAATCTAATGTGTACTCCTCCTGTATCCCACCAAAGCTAACTCCATGTGTTTAAACTTTTCAGTAGGTTAAAAGTCAGCTCTAGTTCATACTTTTATAAACTATAGATGAAAGCATAGATACTATTCTATGTTCATGATCTGGGGTGCAAGAAAAAGGAAATCACCCTGTGCTGTATGATCCTTATTTTCCCTTGGCCATGTTGTAGCCCCTTCTTGAGAACTCTACAGGGTTGCAGAGAGCAGGGCAATCATAGAGATAGAGGGAGCTGGCTCCTGCCAGATCCTGCGTCTCACAGGGTGCATCTACACATTCATTAATGCACTGTAATTATGGCATATTAAGCTTAGTACAACAGGTAGTAAATGCGCCATAATTGTCACTACTGCACATAAGCACAAACAAAGGGTCTTTTTGTGACATTAATGTGCAGTAGACTAAATCTACTGCATATTAGCACAGGTTTTGCCCACTGTGCTAATGAGTAGCAGAATTAGTCTACTGATCTCGAAGCCTCTCACGTAGATGTGCCCAGTGGGAGGATCCATAGTGCCAGTTAGTGCAAATCATGAGCCTGATCCAACGCTCACTGACATCAATGAGAGTCACTTTTACTTATGGCAGTGGACTTGGGATCAAACCCCAAGGCAGTGATAATACATTCTTCTTTCCCATCTGTTTTATGGAGACCCTTCTCTTGTGAGGCTTCTAGGGGCAAGAGAGAGCCTCTGTAGAAGTTGCACTGTCCCCTGTAAAACTTGGATAAGAGGAAAATCAACCCTTACATTAGAATTTTTTCCAAGCTTGATGCTTTGTACAGTGCCTCTCCATGCTCCTTCCACATGATGTTCTTCTTTGCACCCCTCTCTCCCTGCATTGATCTCTGTATTCCCTTTACTGGAATTATCTTTCCTTCTGACTTATTCCCTAGCTAGACAGTTTACAGTCTTTGCAATAATGTGTTTCTGAGAATGTTCTATTTTTTCATATACGGTTTCATAACACTTCCCACCTAAGGAAGTCCATAAGGAAGGTATGTGATGTGACTTCTAAATTCCAGTCTCTCAAAGTTTTAGGGATCCAGGTTTTAACTGTGTTGGTCTACAGGCAAAAGTATTCAGAACTCTTGGACGGAAATATCTTCCATTACACCAACTAAATAGTTGCAAGAAAGAAATCTTTAAAGTTTTTTTTCCCGGTGCAACTATTTAGTTGGTCTAATAGGAGATATCACCTCTACCAAGAGTTCTGAATACAGTCTCTCAAAATAAAATGTTAATATGGGCAGGAATTCTTAAGGTGGCCAAGGGAGCAGGAGGGAAAAATAGACAAGTTTTTAATGGCAAATTATAGTTTACAGTTCCTTTGTTTTTCATTTTTGTTTTCACCCTCTTTTTTAACGTTTAACAAGTGTTAGTGGTAATGTACAATAACTGCATATGAATACAAGCACTAAACATTTGGGAGATGTAAAACATGCAAAAATTAAGGTTCCAATGAACCCTAATCATTAATGCCTGTTGAAGTCATTGAAAGATTTTTCTTTGGCTTCGTTTGATTCTGAATCAGGCCTCTGTGAGACCGGGTAGATCTCAGGCTGCTTTTTCTGCCCTTGGATATTTGTATGCCACTTTAGCTGGAGCTTCATGTTCTACCTGCAGGCAGAATTTGGCCCTGTATATTTGGATGGCATTGACATGGTATTCATTTTCATGTGTCTGCTTTCAAGAGTAAATCCAGATGTGCCAATGTTATAACAAATATTAAATCCTTACAATTCCATAGCTTTGCATGTTATTCAGAAGAGTGGATTCTGTGTGTATTGCTATATAATATAGATATACACTTAACAGTCTGGGCCAAATCTTCAGCTGGTGTAAATTAGCAGCCTTGTTGCAGTCAACAAAATCAGGCCTATTTACACTAAAGAAGATTCTTGCCATTGTAAATCCATCTTCCAAATCAGTTATATGTCTATATAGCATTCCCTTCTATTTACATGTGCATGGTTAAAGTAAATGTAGACCTGGATAAATGTATGTACATAAGAACATATGAAGTCCCATACTGGGTCAGACCAATGGTTCATCTAGCCCAGTATCCTATCATGAACTGTGGCAGGGGTGGCTGCCATAGAGGGAAAGCATTGATCCAGATATCTAGATCTATTCCCTATTCATTACCCTCTCTGGCATCCACCATATATTGGTTTAGAGATGCCAGAGGAAGTCAGCTACATACTTCTAACATTTCACTTGAGCTGTTGGTAGTTTCACTTTTTTCCATTCACACCATTGTCATTCATCTGTAATTGTTCTTTCAACAGCCTTCTTTTTATTTCCCTGTAATCCATTCCCAAATGCTTTCTCCCTAGTTTAGAAAGAGTATAAGCTTGTTCCAATTGTGTGTGTTTCTCATTCTAATGCTTCTTTCGCATGTTGTTCTGTGACACTTCCCACCTGATAAAGTTCATGAGACTGGTATATGTCATGACTTTGGAATTCCTTAATTCAGTTCTAAGTAATGGTGCGTACAGGAATTCTTTAGGTGGTTGAAGGAAAAGGGAGATAAAAATTGAACGCACTCTTACTGATATCTGCTTTGCTTTGTATTTTTCTTTATTAACATTCTCTCCAGGGGGCTAATCATTATAAATAATTATAAATACTAATTACTGCATAAAATGAGATATATTTTAAGTGATTTGTAAGGCGTTTTAGCAGTAATCTATAGTGGGACAGTAGCCATTGTGGCTGACATAACAGGGAATGAACAAGAAGCTTCTGAGGCAGAAAGCACAAGTCTCTACAACTTGAGCTGAGTCTGTCTACTGACAATTATTAACAGACCCTTATCCTCTGTATACTGGGTAGAGAAAGGTCCTTGTAATATATATTAACTGGGTGGTTCCATTAAGAATTCCAAATACCACTCTTCAGTAGTATTTGGAAGTATTTTCAGACTTCACAATGGCAATAAGGATTCTCTGGATAATAAAGTACAGGTCCCTTTCATTTAAGTTAAATGATGTTTTCTGCTTACATTTACCACCACATTCTGTACAAAACAGATGATCATTTCCCATGCCAACTCACGGGGGGAGAATGCTATATTTTACCGAATGAAGGGATTGGGTTAGTTTTGGGTTTGCCGTTTGTGAGGTTGCAATACCACATGTACTGAGTAACACTAATCAGCAAAAATAGTTTACTGAATAGATGTGAAAATAACTTTAGGAGATGATTGCAAAAGTGCATGTTTGAGGTGGAGAGATTTTTCTTTTCCAGACAGGCATAGTATCTGGGACATTGCCAAATCTAGAGATTTTGTTTTGGATAAACAAGTCTTAGCATAAATTGAAAGAACTGCTGTAGTTTTGGCTAACTGCAGAGATGTGTGCTTATACAAAATGCCAATTTAGAGAAGAAAGCAAGATGTACCATCTGTCTCCAAATTAGTATTTTTTCTTTCTTGAGAAAAGCTACTTTATGGGAAAAATGGGTTCCTGCAGCTTATTGTGTTCTACTACATTACAATTTTCATGTGAATCTCAGTCAAGGTTTGGCAAGATATTGTGTGTGATTAACAATATTGCAAGTGATGCTTACAAAAAAACCCAACCCCTATATTTAAATCAAGCTTCTGCTCTCATATCAAATCAGTCCTTAAAAACACATTCAACTTGGAATTGGATTTTAACTTGCAGATTGGAAAGCAGTAATTCTGCTCACAATTATCTGCATGTTTTTAACCCTCAGCTCTTGGAAGCAGGGCAAATTGTAGCCGCAAGTAAGTCAGTGCCCAAATCCCTATGGTTTGGCTAGGATTTCTTAGTTTGTCTATATTCTTTTCACATATATACAACTTTGTTGGTCATAATTCAGATAAATGTAAATCTCTGTAAACCAAGGATCACCAGGAGCACTTGGTCCATGCAATACTTATATGCTGTATTTTCTCACATATAACACACCCTGGAATAAGACACTCACCTTGGTTTTGAAAGGCAGAATGAAGAAAACGCATCTTTCCTTGTAGTAAGTAACTGAGTAGCAGCAGCTAAGGAGCTGAACCTGCTAATTTACTCTTCCCCCTTTGGATTGTAGACTTTACTTTTGCTTTTGCACCATGAGCCGTAGAAATTGGTCTAACTACATTTCTTGAATATAATGCTCACTCCCGTTTACAGCACCTTTTTCCAAAAAACACCCTCTCCCAAAATACCAGCTGGATGTTTTATGCAAGAAAATACAATATGCTGAGTTACCAATGTTAGTATTCATCTGCATTTTCCATTTTGCCTCCTAGTACTTTCACATCCATTTTCATGATTTTCCTTTTCACATCCATATGTACCCTTTGTTTTTCTTTTAATGTTATTAATTTTCCACCTCTGTAACCATTCAATCTTTGCTTGATAAAGTTTTAATGTTTTTGCCATCCTGTGTTTCTTGTTCTAATTTTCTTCCTTGAATCTCCCATTGCTACTTCTTCCTTGACACTTCCCTCCTAATGAAGTCCATGAGCCAGGTATGTGACATGACTTCTGAATTCCTGTTCCATTCTGAAGTGTTACTGGGTTAGAGCAATAGGTTGGAAATTCCATTTCATGAACCACGTGGCAATGTTAAAACTTGGCTCCATTCTAAATTAGACCAAACCCTGTCAATTCCAAAATGTTCTACAAAAAACACTTTGTTTTTCATCTACTGAAGAAATTAATTTGGACTTTGTTAAATGAGAAGGTTTTGCTTGATCTAAAATGCTTGGGTTTTTTTACATTTTATTTTGGGGAGCATTATAACATTTTGAAACTTTTTTACTTTCAAAGTTGACTTTTTATTAATTTTTGATGAGGTAATGAAAAATAAAATACAACATATAAATCATTTTCAAGCTAGAAAACTGAAATGTCTTATTTCAGAAATTTTGAAATAGGACATTTCAATACTGTCAGAACCTTTTTCCTCGTGTTTTTCTTTTAAAACAGTATTTTTACAAAATTGATTTTTTTAAATGCATTTAAATTTCATTACCTTGGGGTTTTTTTTAGGAAAATGGTATTATTGAATGTTTTCCATAAAACTCTTTTATTGTACTCAGGAATTCAAAGGTGGTGGAACAGAACATGAAAAGAAAAAGATATATTAATGATAAACTATAACTTAGAGTGTATTACTATTTCATCTTCTATTAATAACCTTTCCTTCTATCATGTGAAACATAATAAAGATAATAAATGCTAATTGCTGCATGAAAAATGTAATAACACTTAAGAATAAGGTTGGAAATGTGATAATCCAGGGAATAGATGAGAAGCAAGGGGTTATTTTGATAATATCTTTTATTAGAACAACTGTATAGTTGGGAGAGATGGTAGACAAATGTTTGCAGTGAACTTCATTGGGTTACTTGTTTTGATGACATTTAAGAGACAGATATCAGCTGCAATAGTGGCCACTATGTAATTCACAGCTGTTGTTATACTGGTTACAAGAACCACACAGAGCTATATAATGACAGTGGAGACAGCAATGAGATCTTCCACCTACAGGAGTGCAGGCTACCTCTAATGACAACCTTTCGTCTGCTAATTATACAGAACATATTGCAATGAAAATTTAAACAGTTCTTGTTCTATCCAGAAGAGGACAGTGTTGTACAATGACAGTGACCAGTGGAGTTGAATTTAATTTTTTAACTTAAAATTTTGTGGCAAGTATTTTTGTTTAAAAGTTGTCAAAACCTGTGTTTTTGTGGGCTTCAGCCATTTTGTAGAATGTGCACAATTTTTTTAATTCACATTTTTGTAAAAAACATTCCTGAAACAAATGGTCTTTTTGACCAGTTTTATGACCCAATTCACTGGAATTTTTAAAAAATATTGCAGAGATGCCAGATATTTTCCAGTACACATCTGTGTAAAAATTACACATTGGACAGACCTGCATAAGTAACTTTGGTCCAATATATTTAGAAAAGGTTTATATGGCATTCTCTTGTGGATGTTGATCTTATTGTTTCCATTAAAAATATTCCAGATCAAATATCATATGGATATAGATTGAAATCCACGGGAATCTTCTTATTGATTCAACTGGCATTAGATTAAGTATGTTCCCATGCAGTAGTATATGAGAAGTGAACCCTACTGAACAGATGTAAGATATTAATTTAGTGTGCAAGATCATGAAAGAAGAAACACATCTTGGTTCCAGTCATACTTGTAAAACTGTGCTTGATGGGCATGTCTTAAACTGGTATAAATTCTGTAAACTAGGAGGAGTTGAGTCATACTTGCTACACATAGTTAAATATTTTGCAAGGCATACTTTTTCATCATTCATCTGCATGATCTTTGCATCTCTCATTTCATAGTCATCCCCATGTCTTCTCTTTTTATATCTATTTGTTTTATTAAAGAGATTAATTCTCTTTCTCTGTAACCTATTCATAACTTTCACCAACCTTTGCTTGCATAAAGTATAAGGTTGTTTACCTTTTGTGGTGTTTTTAATTTTTTTTGTCTCCCTTTGCATCTTGTTTCCCTGACATTTCCCACTTATTGAAATTTATGAACCCGATATGTATATTCTAAATTCCTGTGCATTGAGCTCAAGGTTATATATACACAAGAATTCAAAGGTGGTGCAAGGTAATAGGAGATAATAAATCCTTACCTTCTATTTTTGTTCTTCTGTTTTTTCACAGAACCATGAATCACTAAAAAAACAAACTGTGATAAATAGTGCTTACCACTTGGTGCCAAAAAGTTACAGTCAAAGATTTGTCCAAGCTTAATGGTCTATTGAGCTACTATAGCTAAAGCACATCAGGTTCTATAGCTGATGGCACACTGGAGATGTGATGTGACATCACACATTGACACATTTGATTCTCCAGCTTGAATGACCACCATCTATTTCCACCTGATGGTAGCACTGAAAATAGACTTGATCCAGTTCAGTGAATCATTTAAAGCTTTGCTGAGAAGAAAAACAAAATTTGCCAATTTCTATGCGAGACTCTTACAAAATACTACCATTGGTGCATCTGGAAGTAGTATTTGACATAGCCCATAGTACATTTCATATCCATTATCCTGCACTGTGGGTAATAAATGTAAATCTATGAAAGCTAATGACCACCTACCTGTATTACTGTAATGCACTACTGCATTGGATTTATGTTTTGCCTGATGTAAATTTTCACCACTTGTCTGCAGGTTTCTTTTGCCTTTCATTTCCATCACATCCCTCTCCGTGCCTTTCCATTTCACATCCATATGTGTCCTTTGTTCTTATTTTAATCTCATTAACTTTCTACTTCTGTAACCTAATTTATAAGTGATACCCCTCAACCTTGGCTTAAAAAAAAAGGAAGGTTTCTCTCATCCCATGCTTCTTGTTTCTGATTCTCCTGTCTTCCTTTGCATGCCATTCCCCTGACACTTACCACTTAATGAAGTCCATGAGCTAGGTATGTGACATGACTTCTGAATTCTTCTTTGTTAGTCTGTAGGGATAACATACATAGGAATTCCAGTGTAGCACAAGAAACCAGTAGATAATAGATATGTCAGTGATAAATTATAACTTGCATGTTTTTTTAATTTTTATTCCTATAACCTTCTCTCATTTATTAAAGTGTACGAAGAATGGTAACACATAATTTTTGCATGGAAAATTACTACATTTTGGGAAAAATGTATGCTTTCAGAAAAGAGTAACTCAGCAAAATGGGTTAAACTCTGCCATGTGATATGTAAATGAATACTTCCCACATCCATGGGAGCTCCATTTCATACCATAAAGTGGAGTTTGGCTCATTGATTGCATAAAGGGAGTCAAAAGACTTGAATTTTGTACTACTGTTATGCCTGGTAAGTAATGGAGTGCTTAAAAGATAACCACATTTCAAGGGCAAAACCCTGCTCCCAGATCTGCATCAGCAATCAATATGTTTGCATATTCAGAATACTGAAACTGAGATCAATGCAGATCCAAGAACAAGGTCTCTCCCTTTCTTCCAACCCTTATTAAAAGATGTGTTTATACATCTACATTGCAAATGGATGTGAATAGCAACATGTATAGATGCACCTCCAAACTGCATCAAGGCCATAAAAATATAAAGACTTTTCTGAAGTCATCAGAATGCTGGTGGTGGACCATTGCAGGTAATTAAGCAGGTTTCCAAATGTTCATAGAGCAAATATATGAAAACTATTGTTGGAAAATGACAGGTGCAATATTTCTTTGGGACTACTTCACGTCCTGGCTATGTTTGTGTGCATATTTAAAATCAAGGAAAACCTTTGTAAATTGTGTCTCTCAATTCCTGTTAGTGTCCATAATGATCACTTTTGCAAGCATTACACTTGTTACCATGAATCTGCATGTCTGTTTCACGTGACAGAATCTTTTCACTCACCCTCCCATATCCTCCCATTATTTACCCCTTTAAATGTGATTAATTTTCTTTACTTTTGATTTACCTCTTAATCTTCTCTTTGCCCAAAGCCATTTAAGTTGCTGATCAAATAACTGGTTTCTTGTTCTCATTCTCTTGTTCTCCATCGCATCTTGTTCCATGACACTTCACACCTGATGAAGTTCATGAGCCAGGTATGTGACATGACTTCTGAATTCCTCTTTGTAGTTCCAAAGTCAGTGTATGTGTCTGAACAAGAATCTTGGGTTAGTAGGAGAGAAAGAACAAGAGAAACAAATATTAACCACAAATGGTCACTTGTCAACTTATTTCCTTTAATCTCATGCTTTACTACTATATTAACTTTAATTTTTAACTCCCAACAGCTTCTCCAGACAGCTTTTGTTCCTCACTTTTTTGCATGGATGATTTTACTTTTCTTCACAGAATCCTTGATCTCTTTCCCAGGCTCCAAAGTACTTAAATATGTGTTCTGTTTTTTTCTATTTTCCTGTTTCCTATCACTGCTTGCACCATGACACTTTCAGGAGAAGCCCATGAAGAAGGTATGTGACGTGTCTAAAGAATCTCTTTCATTCCATTTCTCTTTCAGTATTGGGAAAGCCATGTTAAAATGCTGAAGTCATACAAGATCAGGAGCAAGGTTGGATGTGGGTTCTTTCTGAATGGTTTTGGATGGACAATGAGAAACTTCAGAAAGGTTTCATGGGTTCAAACCACATGTAAAACATCTTGCAAATTCTAGTTTGAAAACTGACCTGAATTTGCAAAAGTGACCAGGTGTTTTGGTGGGCCAAACTGAGATAGTTGAAAGAAGCCTAGTTCTCTGAGGATAGGCTAGGAGCACTTTGGGAAAAGTAAGCTCCTTTAAGTTTTTTTCTGTTGGGCTCCCAAAAATTACAACACCAAAACCTCTTGCTACATTTGGAAATGTAGGTTTCTACTTCCTGATTTAAACACGTTACTTCAAGCACCGGTGGATTCAAGATTAATTTATTGGGGGCTTGTATTGGATATACTAGAGGAGTTGGTGGTTCCTTTAGTGTGTTGGAAAATGTTTGGCACCAGACTTTGTAGAAAAACTCCTAAAATACTCTGTAGCCGTTGAAAGAAAAGAGGAGATTTTAAAGTTTGAGACTCAGAAGTATGTATTTAGCTCTAAAGACCGTAGGTGATTTTTCTCAGGCTAGAGTGTGTTATCTACCAGGATTGTAATTCACAACACATAGTGATCCATTCTGATTAGCATCACATATATATAAGATGCTGTAGTGTCTTGAAAGGCATCCTAACCATGGTTGAAATGGATTTGTCTCTCAGAAAAAGAAGTGATGGATGAACAGTGTGATATGATGATGTATGGAAGGGTGTTTACATGAGTGGAAAAGAAGAGAGGTCATAAAGAATCCTGCCAAAGCTAAGAATCATGCTATAAAGACTAATCCACCCAATGGCAAAGAATGTTAGATTTTTTTTACCCTCTAAAATACATTACTATTATATTTGGAACAGTAGCTGGTTCTAGATAGTGCTTCAAGGACTGATAATGTTTTTGAGACTGGGGAATAACAGTAGGGAAGTTCAGAATTGTTCTGGAAATAATTTCAAATTTCAGTTAACTTCCTTCTGTGTAAAAAGTGCATGGCAAAATGCTTTTGTCTGTGGAGTCTGGCATGTTCCTTCCATTGCAGTGTTGGAACAAAGCTCATGATCATGTGTAATAGACATTCTGTGGAGAAGAAGTACTGTCCAACATGTAGATCCATGTTTCTTTCCTTGTCTCTGTTTACCCTGCTATGTATAGGATTACTAATTTTCTCCCCAACAAAATAAGACCGTCCCACTGCAAGGTAGAAACTCCTAAAGCATTCACTGAAATCCAGATGCTTGGCAGAGGCTTGACATGCTTTATGATACTTGAAGCTGTCCTTTTCTAGCTTATTTTATATGCTAGGCTAGAATTTTATATGCTAATGACTATTGTATTGTGTGATATAAATTAAGGTCTGGCAAGTCCAGCTATTGGCCTAAATTCCCCAGGTTAATTTGTTCCATATTTATGAATCTTGGTGAAATATTCCATCAAGAAGACTCCGGGGTCTTTTACCAACTTGATGAGTGATAGATTTTTCCTTTCTTACTGGCCTCCTAAAATCTGGATATTCTTACTGGAAAACAGAAAAAAATCAAAACCAAAAAGAAAGAAACAAAACCCTCATACACCAACTCCTGCATAAACCAAGCCAGATCAACAATCCTCCCCTGGCACTAATGTATGTTCATAAAACAACCACCACCAAAAAAACAACATTCTTTTCCTTTGACTGTATTTGTTCACCTTTTGTGTTTGCTCTCTAACGATATTAAAATGATTACAGTTCCTGGCAGGAAGTTGTGTGGAAACAGCAATTTTTTAAGCAAATAGGAAAGAATGTTTTGGAAAGCCAGTTTTGAACTTTCAAATATAGGCCTCATCACTGGACACCAGATATAAAGGAGGAACAGCAACAATGTTATATGGCTTGCTTTCTGTCAAAACTCACTAACACATCATGAATTTCAGATATCCAGTCTGAATGCCAATATTTTGAATCCTCACAATAAAGATAATATATACTAGGAATTCATGGACTACTCTGCAAATAATTTAGGATAATAAGTGTATTAAAGAAAATTGTAAGCTCCCTGCCAACAATTTGCAAGTAGAAAATTGAGCTCACTTTACAAAACAAATCATTTGCCAGTTTTTACTCTTTCTCCTTTTCATCTGCTCCAGTTTAATCTTTTAATTTCTGTCCAGAAGGATGATCATAACACCTCCTGGGAACTATGTCTTCAGAAGACAATCAGTGGGACTCATGCTTCTTTTACATATGTCACCCTCTGGTGTCCAAAAATAGATCTTCAGTTTCCTATTTTTTCAAATTTTAGCCAATACCAATATCTGTACTGGAGACATGAACTTTGCAGTGAGGTAGAATCTATAGCAATATGTAGTTTGCCATGCCTTCTTACTTCATCAGACAGGTAGAGGAGCAGAAAGGAAAAACTTCTCTCCCTTGAGCCATGTATTTCTTTTGACTATACCAAAGTAAACCTGGAGTGGCCTCACTGAGTAATCGTGAAATATAGTCCCAGCAAGTATAAGAGTAACCAAGAACAATCAATATAACTAGGCAACATTATCCTTGGTCTCATCTTGACTTCAATGCAGTAAAATATAGTGAATTTGTCTTCCTTCCCCCACTCAAGCTCTTGCTTTATGTCTCTAATGTTCCTTGAGCTTTCTGGCACTCACTTTCCTTTTGCATGTATGTGTTGCCATTTAAGAAGAGGTCCCTGCAGAAGAACAAGAGGTTATGTATGAAGAAGGTAAGACTCCCCTCTCCTCCCCTCCCTTTTTTGTTTCTCATCATTGAATCTGAGAAGAGACATGCTTTATGGGATGCTTTTGAGTCTCAGCATTGCTGCTTTGTGGCGCTGTTGTTCTGCTCAGGTCTATTAAATCTGAGTCAGTGTCTCTTGTCTTCCACTATAGGATTTTTGTCTGAATCTCTGACTGTCACTTTTCTGTGGCTTCAGCCTAATGGGAAAGGAATACTTCGGCTTTCCTAGCGAGAGGGTGGAAGGGTCCCACTTGTTAGTTGTAAAATCACTTCCTTACAGGGTGCAGTTAATGGGCATAGTGGTGTAGTATGTTAGACAGATAAAGAAAAAGCTAACAGTGGCATCAGTTTAACCGGCAACACATTGACTCTACAAGAATTCCCTGGGATGAATGGAAAGGAGATTTGTTTTTCTGATAACTTGATGCACTTTCACAGGTTTGGAGGTATACATTTGGGACAGATCCTCAGTTGGTATAAACTGGCATTGTTGAAATCAGTGGAACCACATTGATTTATATCAGTTGAGGAGCTGGCCTTTCCAACTTCTCAGAGCTATGGTTGGCCTTTCCAATGGTATCAGAGTTATGGTTCAGAGCTGCATTCAGTTCTGCTGAAGAGTCTCACAGTTTAACAGGGCTCATATAAGCATGTTATTCCAATATTCAATAGTCACAACCTACTCAGAAGAAATAATTGCTAATATCATTGTTTCACTAATTGTCTACTTTAATGCGAGTTATAGCTAGTACTTCTCCACGGGTCTGGGAGTTACAACACAACTTTGCCATTCCATTAGCCCAAAGGCATAAATGATGCATGTCCTGGGATTCCTTTAGGTCAGGGGTGGCCAACCTGCAGTTCAGGTTGTGAATGGCACACAGCAGATCAGGGAATAGAACAGCAAACAGAACAACAGATCAGGCAGGGAGCAAAGGGAAGGGAGTAGAAAGTAGAGCAACAGATCAGGCAGGGGATTGGAACTGGAGTGGTGCTTGAAGAGGGTGTGAGCCTTACCTTGTGACATGCCTGCCAAAAAGGTTGCCTCCTAATGCTTTGGGTTATTTCTTGTCATGCATTTAAGCCATTGAATCTCCTCTTCTTTCTGCTCTTTTAGAGATATAGATAGATAGTTACCCAGAGAGTTCAGTGCCCCAAGAATAGGGGGGAGGGAAGGAGGAGCTGGGGCATTAATTCTTTAGGAAAACAGCACTGATTGCATATTGACTTCGTATACTTTCTTTCTTTTGCTTATGTTCTTCAACCTACAGCTGGAGAAGAAGGAGAATACTATGATGGTAGTTTGGTGTTGTTTTGGGATGTCACGAGCATTTTTCTCTAACCCCTTCCTTTTCTTTTCTATCTGCTTCTATTCCTCACTCGATTTTTAAACTCAGGAACTGGGCCAAAACATCACTGCTACAAAGAATCCTTTACTGCGCATATCTAATCACTCTTTGGGAACTGACTGTTATATCTGGAGCGCTTGCTCACATATTTCATCATAAGGACAATAAGCAATGGGAGAACCTAGTACTCTACAATGTTCCACTCCAAAACCCTGCTCATCACTCTAGTTGGGAGCTAGAAAAAAATCCTCATATTTATTTGATCACTAAGGCCTTCAGTTTAAAAAACACATAAGGATATGCTTAACTTGAAGCATGTGTTTAAATCCCATGCATACTACATTTTTTTCCTTAAAGCCTTTTTCCCACCTGCAGTATCAGTACTTCTCACATCATCGGGCACATCTACATGTCACACTACATTGCCATAGCGACATGCTATGTCACTGTAGTGACCATGTGGGTTAGCACGTGATGAGCAGCTGCTTTGCTGTAGTGGTGCTAAGGTGTCCATCATAGAGGACAGTCCGGTTGTCCTCTGTCCTCTATTGATACAAAACTGGACATCTTTATGTCCTCTATTTTTCTCTTGAAGAACACTCTTATTAAGTGTTCACATTTTTCTCTTGAAGAGAAAAATAAAGGACATGCAGGTATCCAGTTTTGTATCAATAGAGGACAGTGTAGCAGAAAACTGGAATGTCCTCTATGATGGCCACCCTAAGTGGCACGCTCCCCTGTTTATAACGCACCGCTAGAGTGAAGCAGCGGCTAAAAATAACCATGTGCCGTGCGTACGGCATAGTATGGATGGTTACTGTGCCATGCTTTAGTACTGTCCCAAGTGAAGTACTAAAGCACAGGGCAGTAACAATGTCACTAGGGCAACGTGTAGATGCATCCATTAAATACAAAAGACTAAGTTCTCTTCTGGTGTAAAAGGACTTAGTTCAACTGACTGCAGTAGAATTTTGCCCATTCTTGTGGGCAGAAAATTTGCGAAAACCCTACGCTGCTCCCCCCACCCCCCCAAAAAAATTAAAGTAAAAAAACTAGGGGCCTGATGTGCAGAAGAAAGGTATAAATCTTCAGGAGGACTCAATTAATTTCAATGTAGTCTGAAAGGAAGCCCTGCCATTTTATCGCCTTTTGACTCTCAGCCCCTATTGAACACTTCCTAATGGAGCAGGTTCTAAAGAAAGAGCTCAAGGTTCTTCCAACATTTGTTAAAATCAACTGACTTTTTTCTAGGGTTTTTTGTTGTTGTTGTTGTTTTCTTTTGGGTTTTTTTATTGTTGTTGTTTTTTGGGGTTATTTTTTTCCCTTGTTCACTTTTCAGGCTTTTTCTTATTTTAGGAAAAAAACCTTTTGAGGACTTTTCTGAGCCCCTCTTATGAGTTTCACTTCAGGATGTGATTTCTCTCTCTTACTTTCTCACCTTTTAATGGCATACTGATTTTCAAAGCGTTAATATGAATTAGAAATGTTACTTCTATAATACAAAATGAAGAAGAGTGGCTGGAGAGACCTAAATCGATTAAAGGCAGTTTAGAGGGATTCTCATAGACAGGAGGGCACAGCATGAGTACATTGTAGATGTTAAAAAATGAACAGAGGGTACCTTTATGATGTGCTATAGCCTCCTGAGCTAAGCCATTGTGGCTACCAGGTACTCCTGGGATATATGTGTAATTACATCTTCACTGACCTTGGATTTCAAGTGGTTCTTGGCAGAACTGCCTTCTTTTGACAGGGTTACAATGGGGATTTTGCTGCAGATTCATGGTTCATGGGAAGAATAAGCAGAATATGAGTCAACATCCACCATGCGCATCAAGAGGAGGAATTTGCAATGGCAATTCCTGAGTGTTCACAAATTTTGGCCCAGTTCCTTGAAAGAGAGAGCATCTTAAGAAAAATTCCCAGCCTTGTGGCTGATTTTAAGGCATAAAGTATATGAGTAGCATTTTTATGAAAACTGTTATCTCTTTTTTTACCCATTTTCTGGTCTCCAAGAGGTACAATAGATATCATTACTATATTTTTTTGTTTTTTGAATAGCCAGTTAACTTTTATTTTGGAACTGTTTGTTCCTTGCATTATTTTTGAAGCACCAGGTTGGTGGAAACAGAAGTCAAAGTTTAAGATGTGGTTGGATTTACCTAATGGACAGACAGGTCTGAAGCCTTAAAACCAAAGGCAATAATAATAATAATAATAATAATAATAAAAAAACAAAGCCAAAAGTAAATCATTCCACCACTATTTTTTCTCTCTCTCTTAAGTAACATGCACTAATGTATCACTTTTAGTTACACTGGAATGTCTTGGTAATTTCCTTGGGGCTCCATGGGGGAAGGGAGTTCTGTGTGTTTTCAAATAACATCCCTAGCAAACTGGTTGCAGTGATTTCCCCTCCTCCCTTTCTCCCAATTAAACAGAAAAATCAATCAGTAAAAAAAAAGCTCACAATCTATTGGCCAAAAAACCCACAAAAAACTTAGTCATAGTTGGAGCAATAAAGACAACAGGCAAAACTAATGCTGCCTTCACCATGCCTGACCTGTGGTTTATTTTTATATGTGCTGTTATGGGAACAGTAAAATTTAGCTTATTTCTCTCCCCTACCTTGCTTGATTATTTACCATTGTTATTTATGTTATTGTGGTGTCTAGAGGCCTCAACTGAGATCAGGAACCCACTGTACTAGTCACTGTATGCACACTTTATAAGAAATAATCGTCTTCTCAAAGTGTTTATAATCCAGGAAGATTGCAAAGACAAGAGTGAAAGGAAAAAATTGTTATTCTCTGACCTCCTTCTTTTGTGACTCCTACATTTCTCAGCATAAATTGCTCAATCATATCCCTCTACTGCCCAAAATCCTGGCAATTGATGTTTCCCTCAGGCATTTTTCACTACCAGTTCTCAGCATTTTTCCCTTTATGAGAAACTGGATATTTCATTTCATTTCATTCTACTCTGTTCCATCCATCTCGTATGCCTCCAAAACCAGCAAGGTCCACATATCCCATTTCAAAGGAATTATCTTTTGGAATGCCTCAGTGTATAATCATCTGGGGACCTCAGAAGGAAAAAAAAATGTATTGACATGGGTAAGTGGGTGGTTGGACTGATCTCTGAGCTTTCCAAATTAGGCTCTTTTCATAATGGACTCAATAGGTTGTGAGCTTTTTATTTCTAACCCATCTTCCCACCAAACAAACAGAAAGAGAGAGCATTGTCTGGCAGAATTCAGATGAATTCCTGAAAGTTCAAACGTAGCATATGGTTAGAAAAGTCAGCCTTGGGTCCCTATAAGATTATGTTAGGATAGAACATGTGGGTTTGATTCTCTTCCACTTGCAAAACTAACTCTGCTGACTCTGTTGACATTACAGTGGGCCAAAAAAAAAAAAAAATTAACAGACCGGAGAATCAGAAATAAATGTGTACACAAATATTGCTGTAATGAACTAAGTAATAAATTGATGCAGCAGGATGTCCATGACTAAAAAAACAAACAAAAAACCCCCAGGTCTGACTATCTATCTTTTGAGATGGTTTGCACTTCACACCAAGGAGCCTGTCCTCTCCTGGAGACACAAGTGCTATTCCCATTCATGTGCATGGGAATTTTGCATGCAGGTCAGCCTGGGAATAAAACCCCTAAGAGAGGATGGTCTTTCCAGACTGTGTGGTGGGTCCCTGGAATATATGAAGGAAAGTGAGATCTTGAAATACAGAGTCCACTTTGGGCTATCTGGGAATGATTGAACTTGGGGAAGATTTATCATTTAAACCTATGTATGAGACATTTTACTAGAAACCAGGCCAACCTGGTTCTCACTAACATCAATGTAAATCCAGAATAACTCTGCTAATGGTAGTGGAGTTACTTTGGATATACCTCAGCATAAAAAAGATGAGACACTGACCCTAAAAAGGGAGTGTTCTCCTTTACTTTCCAGGTTTGCCATCCTCCTTAGAGATTTGGTCTCCAAGGTCTGAGAAGCAGAATTCCTCACATAAACGAGCCATTGCTTTCCAGATGCTACGTTGGCACTTTTACACAATCTCTTGTTTCTTTTCATTTTCTGTCAAATTCTGTTGTGAGAGTAAAATCAGATTCACTCCCACACCAAAGGGAAGTGTTTATCTCTTTTGGATGTGTTGGCTTAAGCCAGTTTCTCTGGGATGTTTCTCCTAACATTTTTAGTTTCCCTGTTTCTCTGATTTAATAGACTGCCTCTATTATCTCTTGTTCTAATTATTGTCCTTCTTTTCCCTCCCTCTCTCTCCTTGTTTTTACAGAAGAAAAACCCAGAATAAAGTAAGTGTTCATTCATCAGGAACCTGTAAAACACCACTATAAATGTTCTGGCCACTCATGGGCATTCTGCCAGAGAAATGGTCACCAGTATTTCTGAATAGTCTCCTCCTGCCTGCCATTCATGCAAATCCCAGTATTCCTCTGCCCTTTCCTACAGTGTCTCCCTCTGTCAAACAATACTGTATCTAGTTTCAGACCAAGGAGTAAAGACCAGGCCCTGAACAGTTTACCTGGGTTAGAGCCAGTATTGATCGAGTCAAAAGCTCTCCAGAGCTGAATGTACCTCTCTCACATATAGCATTTCATGTTGGGAGAAGCTGAGGTTGTATTCTCTCCTCATTTCCCCTGGAACTACACAGAAACAGAAGCAGAGGGTACAGAGGATAGAAATGCAGCTGCTGTGCAGTATGCTCTCTCCTTGCTTCTCTTCGCTATTTGAGGGAGTTGTCAGTGGCAAGTGAAAGAAGGGTAGCTGCTATCTTGACATGTCCTGGGCTCTGCAGGGATTCACCAATTTCTCCTATGAGCCAGTGCCCTAGCTCTCCGCTGGGTCAGCTTCCTAGAGCATGCAGCACTCTGCTCAAACTTGCACCCTCATACAGAACTTTACAAGGGAATGATATCATTGATATTTGAGATGGAAAAAGTCTACAAGGTTATCTCCCATCCCATATCTCTTCTATGGAAGAGTAGCAGGGAGCCAACCTTTTTGGTAGGAGTGCCACAAATTAGCCTTGCACCCTCCTTGAGTGCCATGCTGACCCCCTTCCCTTGCTCCATCTGCTGCTCTACTTTCTGCTCCCTGCCCTATCTGCCACTGTGCTCCCTGCCTGATCTAGTGTGCGCCACACAGAGGCTGCTTATGCCACTTGGCCAACCTGCACCATGAGTGCCTAGGAGACACTTTTAGAAGAGTTTCCAGCCCAGTGATAGTTTCATCTATACATTTCCCTTATGCATTCCCTTTAGCATTTTTCCCTGCCCTCACCCCCCCTCCCCCAGCTTTGGCCAGTCCATGAGGAATGACATTCTGGAAGTGTTCTGCATTCTTTGAGGTGATATTTTTTTCTTTTTCTTTTTTTTCTAATGCCATAGGCTGACTGCTCCTAAAATCCCAGAAGGAGAAAAGGTAGACTTTGATGTAAGTATTCCTGGTGATGGTCCATTGCACTCACATGACTCTGTGGATCACTGCTGACCCTTGTGAAAGTGTACTGCAGTGTCACCAAGGGCGAAGGACTGATCCTTTGCAACCTGTTTTCTGTAACAGAAATAGCTGCAGGCCACATTCCTAAGACACCAATTTATGTATTCTGGTAGCCAGGCTACCATACATAGGTCTTGCTACAGCTTTTTAGTTTTTGTTTTCCCGCTGTGCCTTTGAAACAAATATCTGAAGGAAAGGAAATATTTGAAAGGAATAAGTGATTTAAAGCCTTCAGCTGTCTGCAATGACAGACCTGCTCTTTATCAGGCTCTTGATCTTGGTGAACTACCAGTATTCCTCAAGAGCAAGCGAGATGCTTTTTCAATCATTTCCTAGTCCTGTCTTTTTGCCTACAGTGTCTGTTCCCTGTAACTCATAAATGATGAAGATTACAGTTTGAGGTTTATAAGTGTTCTAGAAAGGGCTTCTGTGATATCAGAAACTGCACGTGAGGCATATTAGGCAATTATGTTCTGCTGTAGCCAGCAATAGGCTGCGCACAGAAGGCTTAAGTTAAAAAGAAAAAAAAATCAGCTCCTCAGAAACCCATCAACAAGCAAAAAAGAGACCTAAAGAAGCAGGAAACTTGGGGGGGACACTTTTGCAAATGTACAAACACCTGCAATAAAGCCATGCAAATGAAGTGGGATGCAGCAAGTAGGTTTCTGAAAAATGTTTCTCAGGGTAGCAACATCCAAGCAGCCAGCCAAACAAGGAACCAACTATGGTTTTGTTAGTAATAAAAAAGAAAGAAAGAAAGAAAGAAAGAAAACAATGCTTGTGACAGAAATGGACATGTTTATGGTAGAAGAAATCATATGATCTCTTGAGGTCAAGGTATGTCCATCTTGTCTACAAGTAAACAAGCTTTCTGTTTATTTTGATGCATCTTGACTATCTATATGAAACTGGGAATATTTAGAGAAATGTAATGGGGCAGAGAAAAGTATATCAGACTGCATGGTTCCTAGAACATGGGGAAAAATGGGAAAATAGGATTCTTGCTCTGTTACTGACTAAACACTTTATACTGCTATTTCTGTGGCCCTGAGTCAGCCCTCACTGAAATCCACGATTTTGGTGAGTGGTGAGTGACACTATCTGTGCTTTGATTTCCTTGCTTGTCAGGTAAAAATATTAACACTTTACCATTTTAGTACCAGGTGCCAAGATGCTTGAAGGGAAGGAGCTGTATCAGTAATAGATTTTTGTTATAATCATATAATCTTTTCTGCTTTTTCAGGACATCCAAAAGAAGAGGCAGAACAAAGACCTGATTGAACTGCAGGCCTTGATTGACAATCACTTTGAGGCTCGGAAGAAAGAAGAGGAAGAGCTACTTGCCCTGAAGGACAGAATTGTAAGTCTTTATGGCATCATCATCAAGGAAACCTGCTTCAGGACGTTGTTGTGTGTATAGCTACTTCAGAGACTCAGAACCAAATGTGAAACTGTATAGATTGAATTTCTTCTTCTGTCCAGGAAGTGAAGAGAGGTGGGCAGAGGAAAGGGGTCCTTCAGAGAGGCCACATCCTATTCCCAGTATGACCAGCAATGTATTTTGGGGCTGGTGCAGACTGACATGTGATGAGTCAAATTCCAGAACATCTGGCGGGGTAGTGCTTACTATTGGCAGTGCAGCTTAGTGTACAGTAGCCTCTCATTTCTGAAGAGATGAAATCAAACATGGGTTATATCCTAAAAGTAAATGAACATGATGGATTGTTTTTGGTGTTTTCTCCTTAGAGATGTGTTTATTTTACACTACATACAGTTCAGTACAGTTCATTCCCACAGGCACTTACTGCTCTGCTATGTCCAGGGTGAGGTTGTTGCAGAACAAGACTGAAGTGTATGGGTAAAGTTATGTGGTGGTTCAGAACTGGAGTAGCAAGGGTTTTGGCTGGCTAGGGATGAGGCAAAAGGGCAAAGGTACTTTGGATTTGGAAATGGGAGAGTGTGGAGTTAAGCAGGTCAGGACTACAGTCACTCAACATAATTGTGTGAAGCTCATAGCTAGGATGGTTGGGTTTGTTCTAGGACTAAGTGAGATGCATTGATATTGTGTGTAAGTCTTGGACAGTGCCATGAGAACTATTATCACTGGCTAGTCCCTGTATAACATCTGGTTCTAAGGAGGAATGTTGCTTCCTCACTTGTGAGAGTTCTGTAAAATATATTCCCTTACACACAAGTATTAGCAGCAGGAATAACATATTAAGTCCAAAAATGGACTCAAACCTACATATGGGTAATTCTCCTCCAGTCTTCGAGATGGTCAAAGCCGCACAGTGTGGTCATTCCTGTTCCCAGCTAGTATGGAGCAAACCCAGTTTGGTTTTCAGTGCTGTTTTAAAACTGATTCAGTCTAATGCACTTGAAAGACAATGGACAAGGAACAGATTTTTTTCAGAAAAGATTCAGAAACAATGTGCCAAACTAGGACATCCTCTGTAGGTCCTGATTCACTTGCCCAGATTCTAGTTTGAAAGAAGCCTGTCTGGCACTGCACAGTGGACAGACAGGTTCCTCCTCTTGGCTGGCTGAATTTTGGAGCCAGAGAATTAATCTGAGGTTTTCCAGCTACCTATTTTGGTAAGGCAATAAGGAAAGCCCAGTATCCAGCTTTGTCAATTTAGGTACTTAACATATGTTTTGGAGACGAAGAAAGGCCACCCTGATGACTCTGTGCCTCTCCTTTTTTCGGGCAGGAAAAGCGTAGAACTGAAAGAGCAGACCAACAAAGAATCCGGGCTGAAAAGGAGAAGGAACGTCAGGCCAGGCTTGCTGTAAGAGTCTCTATTTTACTTTGCTGCCTAGTGATAATGTGGTTGGGCTTGGGTTTTGTTTGGGAACCATGAAAGGAGACAGAAAGAGGGTGCAGGTGCTGTCTGCTTGAGAAACAGCAACAAAGAAATGTCTGCACTCCTGATTACATTCAGATGGACTGGGCAGAGGTTGGGATGGAAGCCACTCTTGGTTCCCAGCACCATGAATTTGCTGTAGGGATTTCTGATGCTAGTGGGTTGTCTGTGAGCATGCCTAGAGTCCTTGCAGTAATCTGCTTTGCCATGTTTCACTCCACAGGAGGAGAAGGCAAGAAGGGAGGAAGAGGATGCAAAGAGAAAGGTTGAGGATGACATGAAGAAAAAGAAGGCTCTGACCTCTATGGGCGCCACATACAGCAGCTATTTGGCTAAGGTAAAATGCCTGAATTAGCTGACGAAATAAAGAGGCTCTGAACACACTTTTTCGGAGGTTTAGCATGGCTTGCATTCCCTTTTTCTCTTGAACCTCCCAAATTCTCTGTCAAACATGAGGAACATATTCATTTCATTCTAGTAGTTGCTAGGAATCACATAGATTTTTAGGAAAACTTCAGTAACTCCTGTGCTTCCTTCAAGTTTCACCACCTCTATATTGTTGGTAAGAATTTCTCTTCTTATGGAGTAAGTGGTGTTAGGAATGATCCAAAGTCTAATGACTTAGTGTGTCTTAAGGGAAGGCTCAATGTGAGTCAACAACACTTACTTAATTTATCTTGAATTTCTGCTAGGCAGCATCCACTGATGTTCTGGAAATGTTACTCTTCTAGGCTGACCAGAAGAGAGGGAAGAAGCAGACTGCTAGGGAAACAAAGAAGAAAGTCCTGGCAGAGAGACGTAAACCTCTCAACATTGACCACCTTAATGAAGACAAGCTCAGGTAACATGTTATCTCTGTTTGCTGCAAATAGACTGGAGATATTCTCAAGGCCACATGGGGAAGGCAGAGCTACCAGATCTGAATGCTATCCCATAGCAATGTCTTCTTGTGGTCTTTCTTCTATGTTGAAGGAACTAGCTTTTGGGGAGGTTCTGGAGCCCTTATGAAGGCAATGCTGAATTCAGCCCTTGTTTGTGCAAGGGAACCTTTTTGTGTGAAAAAAGGATTTTATATGTTATCGCCCATGGTATGATGGACATCCAGCCATGGTCACTGCATGGTCACACTGCCTTCTCTCTGCTGCTATTCAGGATGGGGTTTCCATCTTGTCAAAAATTTGTAAGGTAACTACATCATGCAAACTCTCCTTCCCCTCCCTAACCCACCCCAATTTAAGAGCAGTTGGTCTTAACCACACAGCTTTAGCTTCAGATGCATTTACAGCATTGTACAGTAGTTCCTCCATGGGGTATCGGTTCTATGAGGGAAGATTGGTACAACATCAGCACACACTGAAGTAACTTGGGAAGTATTAGGTCTGGGGCCTCCAACCATGGATAACCTTGTTGATCACATGGGCCAAATCCAGACCATGGAGCCAAAGCACCCAGCCCTCGGGCCTCCCCACCGATTTGGAAATTTGGTGGTGGGGGAGTAGTGGCAAGTAATACTGCCACCCCTTTCCACTGCCCTGCAAGGCTGGATTTGGCCCAGGCTATGCCCTCTTCCTTCTGCATGGCTGAATTGGGGCTGAACCACCCCCTGATCCCCCTGCTTGGCCACACTGGGCCTCTTCTTGCTGCCCACACACCAGATTGGCCCACCAGCTGGATCCAGCCCATAGATGGACTGAACACTGTCTATGTTCATCCACAGGCATCATTCCTGTAGATGGTTCTCAGAATCCTAAAGTCAAACCTGGTCATAACAGTCTAAGATATTTTTAAAAGTGGGAGTTAGAAAGAAAGTGGGATGTGGGAGTAAATGTGTACACTGGGTGGGTGAGTAAATGTTGCTTTTGAATTGCCATCCAGCAACGGGCTCTAGCAACTCAGTTTCAGGTGAGAGCAAAATAGTGGCAGATGGCCCAGGCCCAGAAGCAGAAATAGCTGCTCCTGCTTGCAGAGTATTTAGTGTAGTGATATCAGGCATATTGCGGAGATTAAATGAATCTTCATAATACCCTGTGCCACATCTTTGCCTTCGTGCTTGCTTTTAAAGTCTTGGAGGGGAACGAAGAAGAGGGACAAAAGGTAATGAAGGTATTTTGTCAAGGAATAGGAAACATTCTAGTAGAAAAAAAATCAGGAATATGTTGTTTGTTTAGGAAAAGAAACAAATCGTAACTTGAGGTAATTCCAGGCAGGAAGAAATGTCCTCTACTAGAATCAAAAATATTAGATATAGGTATGAACTGCTATGATATGGATGCCAGGGGCAAGGATTTCTGTGGATGATATCTTTTATTGGACCAGCTATCTAGCTGGGAGGGATGTAGATAAAAACTGCTAGATATAGACGTGAACCTTCTCAGAATTGGGTGTTTTGTGATCAAGTATTTTGGCACAGACTGGCCTCTAACTATTATTATTCTGCACTCTGGATGATGGAATTTGGGCATAATTTAAGGGTCATTCCCAGTCACTGGCCCAAGCCCTGGAACTGGTGAAATATACTATGCTATTTCTTCATCTTGGTTACTTGGAATCCTCTTCTTTAATTTCCTCTAATTTTCCTGGGTTCTTTAATGAAGGCTAAAGAGCCAAGAAATAAACCAAACTGATGCAAGGGGTTTAATGTCTAACAGATGAAAGGTATGAGATTAGAAGGTTAGCATGCATAAATCTGTGAAAAAATATAATCTGATCTTGAAAATAGTGAGTCACCTGCAGATAGGGAGAATTTTGGAAGATGATGTATGTACTGCATTAAAAAAATCTTGAGAGTAGTGACAAAAGAACCACAAGAAATGTGTAACACATATTTCTCCTGTCTTTCTTCCTCATAAAAACCATAGGGAGAAGGCCAAAGAACTGTGGGATTGGTTATACCAGCTGGAAACTGAAAAATATGATTTTGGAGAAGAGATTAAGAGCAAAAAGTATGAGGTGGGTTCATAAGCGAGTCTCTGTCGGGGCACTAGCTATCTCTTGATCCACTATGTAGGAAGCTATGAAATTTGAACAGGAGATCATAGGAGAGGGTTAGAAGGGACTACATGAGATCTAGCCCAGTCCCTTGCTTTCAAGGCAAGATCATTTCTAACTAAATCATCCCAGCCAAGTGTTTGTCCAACCTGCTCTTGATGTGGTGTGAGTATGTTGTTCATCTACTTCCCCACATAGATTTTGGAATATTTGCCTAGAAAGGCACCTGGAATTGGACTTCCTATAACTGTGTATGCATGACCTGCAAATGGCTAATTTTAGAAGACTGAATTTATGACTTTAATCTGGAATTTAATAGATCAGAATCCATGCTCTATGGACAATTATGATGCAGTCCCCATGCAATAAGAAATTAGCTATGATCTACTTGAAAGGGTGTCATAAAAAAAATCTCAGTTAATTTTTTTTGCTTGTCTCCATCATAAAGTAACTTTCTTAAGTGCATGTTCCATTTCATACTTAAATTTTGTTAGTTTTATTTTCATCACAGAATTAAAGCTGAGAAAGTGGGATGGGAATGGCTCCCTGTGGACTGAACTTTTAGGAGGCCCTTGATGAAATTTGTGGCTCTATATGTGAACATCTGCTGAAAGGTCACATGGTATCAAGATGCTGACGTGTCCTTTCGCGTTATGGAATATGTTTGCACTCAACTGCTTTAAACTTCAGTAACTGACATCCCACTGGGATCCTTATTCATGACTGTTTCTGTCTTTCTCTTTACTTCTTTTTCAAATTTTTCTTAAAAACATCTGGACTAAGAATAACTAGCACCAACATAATGATCTCAATCTCTCTAGATTGCAACACTCCGTTGCAGGGTAGAGGCGCTGTCCAAGTTGTAAGTACAAAGAGTTCGCCAACATAGCAGCAGCAGCAGAGGCTGTTGAAATGCATGAGCCTCATGCATGGTGAGACCCCGGGTGCTTCTGCACTCAGGCGGACAGCAAGCTGGCGCTCAGTTTCATGTAGCAGAGGGAAGAGGAGACTGAGTCTTGTGTGTCTCCCTTTACTTCATTTTTCTTCCACCTTCCATTCTTTGAAATGGGGTATTAAGCAAGCAATTGGTGTAAAATCACAGTGGTGCTTAACACCTGCTGTTGCACAATTCATGGGTGCTCAGATGGAAAGCATTTGCTTGGCTGATGTTCCATTGGTTTAAATAGAATGCAACAGCACTACAAGCAGGGTGATTCTGGGTCAAAATGTATTCTGGGTCAAAGAATAAAGTTGCCAAGAAATGTAACCATACCTTGTACAAACAGTCTCTGAAGGCAGCTCTGCTTCAGAGCCAGAAGAGCAAAACATTGCAGAGTCTGGAAAGGCTCCTTACCTTGTGCAGCACATGTTTGTACACAGCTTTAAGATGCTGTCTGGGTGCAAGCTAAATAGGCCTTTAAAGAAATAAAGGCCTGGGAAAAATATTTAGATTCCATGGTGATAAACGCTATATAAGAAGACAGAAAGAATGAGCAAAGGTGAGCTAGAAGGGGGCTTAACAGTATAGAAAGCAAGAAGAGAGATGCAAAAAGTATAATAAAGGAAGAGAGTGAGAAAAGAAAAGGAAATGCATGGAAAGAAGGTTGGGGAGAATGAAAAGGAAGGCAATAAAGTGTAAGAGGGGAAGAGGGATGAAGAGAAAGTAGCTGAGAAGAAAGCAGGAAAAAAGACAAGATAAAGTAAAAAAGAAAACAAGGGAAAGAAAAATGAAGAAAATGAGACATACAGGGTGAGATGGTGAGGGGGGCTGGTGTTCAGCACTGCTCTCTGTTGCTCACTGATGCTGGGCGGGAGACGGCATGCCATGCCTGCTGTTAAGGGTTAGCAGTAAAGGTAAGTCACAAGCTCTTGGGTCAGTTGTAAGAGCAAGTTTGAATTTCTACCAATAAATTGGAATAAATGATTTGAACCCATGTGACAGACTTTTAAACTTCCATGAGTAAGTACAAAATGCAGTGGATCTTGCCTCCTCTGTGTTGTCCTGTTGCTTCTAATGTTACAGTCTCTTTTTTTCTGTTTGCTGTGGGAAAACTTGGTCCAGGAAGTCCAAGAAAGCGAAACAACCTGATATGTGACTTTTGTTTTTCCGTGCACTGTGATTTTTAAATGCCAGGCAACGTTTGCTTGGCCATTGGTGTTTTGGATTGTGAGTTTGCTCAGATCATGGCATCCAGAGGCAATGGAGAAGTTTGAGTCATGAAGAGTAATAGGGGGCATGGCTGGTTAATTTTTTACCTCTAGAGACTTAGGCTATGTCTTGATGGACTTACAAATGGAAAACAAACACATCAAAAGTGGCCTGTACAGGCTCCTCCTACCTCTTAGTGGATATACATTCACAGTACAAAGTACATTGCATGAACTAAGAGAGAGCTGCCATATTGGAATGGTGAGGCTGATGCTACAGGTGAGGATGGAGGTACTGAATCAGGCAAAAGTGCACAGCAGCTATACATTGGCTCTGTCAGGTGCTACAAGCATTGGTCTGCTTGATGTTTTCCCAAGCATCGAGTTCCAACCTAAAACCTCAGCCTGGCCAAGAGATGACAAGCCATCAAATCCAGGTCCATTATGAACTCCCACTGGGGTAACACCACAGATTGCTACTATTGCAAGGGATCCTGGAAAGTCCTTGTCTCAGCCACACAAGCCTTCATTTTCTTGGTTGAAAAAATTCCCCACTCACATATCTTCTCTGTCTTCTTTGGGAATGTCTCTCTGTTTGAGTGCCAGGAGAGGAGTTGACATTGAACATTCTCCCTTCTCCTGTTCCATAACCAATGCTGCTCCATTAATTAATCTTCAGAGGTAGTAGAAGAACATGTCACCCACCATTCTGACTCTTTACAGCCTGATTCAAAGTCTTTTGAAGCCCTTTGACTCTAAACTTCAACAGGTGCGTAAGCACCCATCAATTTCAGTTTCTCATTTCCAAATTGCAGTGGTCTTTTGATGTGATTTTTATGGGCGGTGGCAGGGAAAACCTACATCCCTACAATATAAGAAGCCTCGGGGCTTTTTGTTGCTGAGCATACTCATTAATTTTCCTCCAGTTCTGGAGTTTTTCTGTGTCCAATTTCTTATCCACCCTGGTCAAACCCACCTTCCACTTCAGTGTTGCTAACTGCATGGAAAATTTATACCTGGGATGACAGGTTGCAGTGGAAATAAGGTGAAGGAAAGCACACGCTGTTGTGTAAAGCACAACTGCCAGGGTCTCCTGAGCTTTCACAATGACCAGTTTGCAACTCGTGCTGTAGTTCACCTACCTTCACCTACATGAAGTTTGAGTGTACATGAGTTTACGATAAATTGGCTCTATTGTACATAGTTATAAGCAAACTGTTTTAACAAAGGTATTGTTTGTCCCAGTATTTGTCCCATAGTGGGATCCCTGGTCTGTAATGTCCTCTTAAGACATGAAATTGGCTTGTAAATTTACTGCCAGTTAGCAACATCTGTGTGGTTTCTCAAGAGAGAGGTTTTTCCTTGGAAAGAAAGATGGTACCTTCACCACAGGCACTTGTCTCCAGCTCTTTGGCCAGGTAAAAACACTTCCCTTTCCATGGGAAAACAGATCACTCAGCAGAACCCTTTAAAAATGTTAGTCATGTGTATTATTTGCAGATCACCACCCTCAGAAACCGGATTGATCAGGCTCAGAAGCAGTAAGTACCCATATCCCTTTCCCAGCCCATGGTTTGGGATATCCACTCAGTGTTCTACTCGTCACTTCAGCCTTCACACTGACATTTTCTTCTTGGAAGGGATTGAAGCGAGAGTTGGAAGGGTAACTTCCAACCCTCCCCACCCTTAGAAAATGGTAGTGAAGCTGAAGTGTAAACAAATCACCCCCCCTTCCAACAATCTTGGCAAAAATGCTGTCTCTTGAAGCCATGGCTGTTTATGCTGGCTGACCTGTTTTGAAGACAGTATTGGAAGTTACCCCTGCTTACACAGGATTCTGAGTGACTGCTAAGATTGTAAGGAAGGAGGCATAACAAGACTAACATTCATGGTTATGACTGCCACGTAGTGGTTATCTATCAGTGACCGAGTTCTTTTCATTGGTCACATACCTGTCACTTTCCTTTTCCACCTTACCTGTGTTTAATTTCATTTCTTTCCCGCTTGCAAGTCCCATGTCTTAATTGTTGCATGTTTTCATTTGGAGACCTCGCTTCATGAGAGACAAGGAGAGGCCTAGGGTGTAGAGGAAAGGGAGAGGGAAGTAAAAGGCAAAGGGGACAAATTATGGAGAAGGTGCAGGAGGGGCTTTCTGAATGCTGAGGTGTGCTCTTTGCGTTGTCTCTGTGCCACCTCAGCAAAATCACACCATGCATAAAGAGCTCTGACCATGCAAATGATTCAAAGGTGTTGTTACCAAAGACCCAATGCTTTCTTCCTGTTCTGACATAAATGCTGGGCATGTCTACATGGGATGCTTACTGTGCAGTAGCCTAATAACACTGCACAGTAGTGTGCCGTCAGAAACTGTGTTAATACTCTACTGCATAGTGTTATTAGGCAACTGCGCAGTAAGCATCACAAAAAACCGTGCACCAGTGCTACTACACAGTAACTGTAGTTACTGCACAGTTAGTTAGTATTTCATTAAGCAAACACTAAACTAAATGTACAGTAACTACTGCACATTAATGAACATGTAGACACACCCACTTAGATCTAGCACTGTAGGTGCAGTTCTGTGTAGATGTCAAGCAAAGGGCTTGATCCTGAAAAACATGCTTTTCAGGGGTTTGGGCTTATAAGAGGACCCTGTAATTCTGTTAATGGGAAGGAACAGGTTCATCAAGATGCTATTTGGTTTCCTGAACGCTATGTTTTCTAGCATCACCACCACAAGACCTATAACATGACAAAATGTTGCCATGTTAAGGTAGCCCCCTACTGGTCAAAGGCATGTTACTTTTCTCAGAAACATCTTTTTTTCCCCTTCTCCCCCACTGCTCTTTTTCCCCCCGAAGGAGACTCTTCTGGGCATGATAGAAGGTTGTTTTGCAAAGGGTTGGTTGGGGAACCCAGATCTCTGGGTATTCTGGCACTTTTCAGAAGTAGCGCATGGTATTCCAAAGCATCTCTCATCCACATGTTCCCTCATGTTTTTACAGGACATTAAATCCCTGCAGGTGCAACGTAAAGATGAGATAAAGATGCATCTTATAGACTAACATGTAGACTAACTCTGATTCAGTTAGTCTATAAAGTACATCTCTACTCCACCCTCTGCTTAGAGGTAGGAGTAACATTATAGAGTTTTGTGAAACTAGAAGTGGCTTTAATATGGGGAGCTGATAATTGGCTATAAAGCCACTCTAGAAATTTTGATCCAGTGTTTATTCCCAGAGTAAACGCACACTACCCCCTTGTCTCTCATGTGAAAGGTCAGTTTTTGTAATAAGCTGGTTTCTATTCTAAACTTGTTGACAGGTAACGTATTCACTATATGTGTATATGAATCGTCATGCCAGCCCTTTCCATATGTAAGGCTACTATAACTGAACAATCCTCTCTGATTTGGGGACCATGTAATCAATGTACATGTACCCTCCTGTTGTTGCTTTTTAACACCTTTCTTACTCCCTGGAGGAGCATGTGTTTTAAACTCAGCTTCTTTGGAAACATCCATTCCAACCACAGAACATATGGTATGTATTTGCTGGATGCCTCTGCTCTTCTGTCCAGCACCAAATTGCTTAGCAGCTTGCAAGTGGCTTGGTTCAAGTAGCCTTATAGCGTGTGGGGTTAGGGGTGTGCACTGCACCAAGAACTCATTGCACATGGAGCCTGTTGTTACTACAGTACAGAGCCTAACCAAACTAATTTTCTCACCTGGAACACACCTCAGACAAGGTGTGTGTCAGCTTTATAACAGGAAGGTAAGTGGTTTGCATGCTGGAAGGCTCTCTGCATGCAGGAAGAGATTACCCAGTACTTCTTTGCTGAGAATGCTTTGAAAGCATTGGCTTGAGGACCACAAGGGAACTGCTTCCACACACAATCCCAGAAAGACTGGGTTTCTAGTACAATAAGGGTCCTGAAGGATCGCTTGCATGATTCTGGAGACGGTGACCCTCACAAACTGTGTCTTTTATGTTTTATGACTGCTTATGTTTCCCATGGAACATTCAGGCTCCCTTACCTTGGCAAAGCAATTCTTTTATTCAGCTTCAGTTGTATTGTTCTGACCATCTCACATGGGCGACAATTTCTCAAGCTCAATTTTCAGGTGACCAGTGCTTCTGGTCACTGTACTAGGGCAATCTTGTGTAAGGAAATCCTGTCTCTCTCCAGAGAGGACCCTGAATGCAAAATCCAGATCTGACTATCCCTGGATTTGGAGAATGTTCAGATCTTGGACTGGATCTGAATTCTCTACCTTGGAGGCATCTCTGTTAGTTTCAAGGCTCCCCTGCTCTCTGGTAAGGGGAAAAACTCCTTAGTCATCTAGATGTGCATATCTTGGCCACTCTCTGAGAGGCTCAAGTGAAATCTCTTCTCACATTGACAGCCTGTTTCCTTAGAATGTGCTTACCTTTGCTCTGGAGCAGGTTTAATTTATGGGGCATCTAGTCACTCTGTTGTCATGGAGCAGGCAACTAAAAAGACAGACGGACTGTGCTGCAGCAGTGACACTGACACATTTTCTTTCTTTCCATATTACAGCAGCAAGAAGGCAGGAGCCAAGGGCAAAGTCGGAGGGCGCTGGAAGTAAAGAAACAGAAAGTGACCGCAGACAGGAGCATCTCCGGTGGCGTGGCTAAACACCGCTGGCCTCCCCTTAGCCCTTTTCACAAACCAGTTCTGTTCTTATGCCTGAGCAACACAAAGATCACAACACCAGCCTGGATTGCCTACTGCTTTGTTTTTCAGGACTCCAGCAGCTTTCCGAACCTAGGGGAAGGTCACTGGGGAGCTGAGATGATTCCCTCCTGGCATCTTTACAACCTGCTGCGTGTTTTATTTTCCTGATACCAGCTCTATGCCCCCCAGTAGATTGCTGTGTACAAATCTCTGGATTTTGTAAATAAAGTGTGACCGATACCTACTTCAATTATATATGCTATGGCTGCAGTTTGGCTCTTGTATTCCATTGCAGTGGACAAGCTTCCCATTTCCTTGTGGGGGAGGGATACCCCAAACTTACTGGATCACGTCCTCAGCTGATGTCAGTTGACATATCTCTTTGGCAGAGAATATGGCTTATTACTGTTAGCTTAGTACCACAGTCAAGTATTACGGCCCCATTTTATAGGTACTATACAGACAATGACAGATACAATCTGTTTTGAAGTGTTCATAATCAGTATAGGAAATCAGAATGTCTAAGTTGGATGAACTAGGCAATGAAGGTGGTAGAAAACTATAAAATTGGGAGCACGAAACAAAACTATTAAAAAAGAGTATTCTGTAAAGTCTTTTTTTGAAAGGTATAAATATACTATAGTGTAAATAATGTCAAGTGTAGTTAATTCAAATACGTCAAAGCAATTATAACCCAAGATTAAGTCTGAAATCTAATATGAAATTCTGACAACTTGGGAAGAGTTTATGCCCTCTTTCTTGCCCATGCCATCCATCCATGGAAATAAATGGGAAAGTCATAAATAAAGGAGCAAAGGAGTTAGGATTTTACTGGCCATTTTATTTTCTTGGTGAGCATTTTGTTCATTTTCTGCAGAGAAAGTCCTGGCCAACCCTTATTCTAAGACATATTTTTTAATATCTTTATCTCAGAACAGAAAATATTAATTTCATGTATAGGATCAGAAACGGTTACTTTTTACCTTACATTTTCACCAACAAATGAGGCAGATGGTCAAATTACATCTTTCTAAGAAGAAATTAGGCTAATAGGGCCCCTTCTCCCCACTTTTTGCTGCAATAAGAGCCAGGAAACGCTTTGACTTTTGGAAGAACACCTAGGATGACAGAAAAATAGAGACAAAAAAGTCCTGGTAAATTGTTTAATCCAGTAGTCACCAACCTTTTCAGGTTGTGGGCCAGAATGACGACGCTCAGGTCAGAGGCAAGAGGGTGGGTGCTATGACCTGGCTACTGCCACTTCTCTCTAGAGTGGCATGATAAGAGCTCCAGCAGAGCCACTGCTTCTCCCCATGGCACACAGGGAAAGTGACTGTAGCTGAAGCCCCACATCTGTGGGATGGATGACCCCTGGTGGAATCTATTTCTGGGTCCCAAGCAGAATTGTTCCCTGCATTACACCATTTAGGGTTTGTGAGTTTTAGTTGTAAACATCCCAAGCAATGAGTTTCCACCAAATCCTAAGGGAAAGTATTTTATAATCTATGAAATCAGGACTATACAAATGGGGGCCCACCAACTGCAGGCAAGCCGTGAGTGATTAAATTGAGGGTTGTGGGGCTTGCTGGTGCAGCTCTGGAACTTAAGGGGTGAATGCTGCTGCTGCTTGTCTCCTCACCCAACCCAACCCCTTTCTGGCTTCTGAATCTGGGGTTTTTGATCACCACTGGTGACAAAAATTTGACAGCACGAAAAAGGGGCAGGGGGAGGAGGGAGGGGAAGAGAGGGGGCAACAAGCAGTGGTGGAGTTCACCCCACGTTTCAGAGCCAGGCCAACACAGCAGCTCTGGCAGTCGTGCTGACAAGCTACCCACCTGTTGTTGGAGGTAGGTTGTCCAGCTCAGGAAAAAGTTTGCAGTCTGGAGCTAGTTCATAAGGCCAAATGATTTGAACAGCCCTGTACCAGATGTTATCATGGGGAAGGGAGATGCAGTTTGGCAACTTTGCCTGAATTTTTGAGTTCTTAATTGTTGTCCCATAACTCTTTACTATGTTCCCTTGTTTTGCATTTGGTAATTCTTCCTTCTTGGTGTTCTTACCCTTGAGAATCCTAAAGACATTTACCGTTGTGCTTTGGCTGTCTCTTAACCAAGTGCGGTATATTTAACTCCTTACAATCCTGATCCGATTCTCATGACATAAAAAAAAAGGCTTAAATCAGAGCAGTCCCTTAATCTCTCTTGTCAAGTGATTCTCTTCCTCCAGATGATTATTATTGCCACAGCTATAGCTGTTTGCATTTTTCCAAGGAGAATTTTATGTTATTTTCTGCCCATGTTTCTTTTCCCTTTAGGCTCCCCATATTATTTATTTGCCCTCATTTGTGCTCGTGCCTTTTCCAACTTTAATACCTGTTATATTTTTCTAACACGCTGTTTAAACAAGACTGGAGGTAAGGACTCATGGTCAGGTACTTTCCCTCAACTTGGTGCCTTTGCCATTGCCTGTTGCTTCAGGCTTTTCTACAGTTTCAGTTCACATTATGTTCATCTGATTTGAATCACTTTTTCAACAAAGCTTTCATTCAGTGCTCTATCCAGCACTTTATCAAACTCCTAGTACATATGACATTTGCATTTACCTCCCCTACTAATCCAAGATAGGAACCTGGACAGCTCCAACTGTTCCTTAGCCCAGGGGTCAGCAATCTGTTGCTTGTGGGCTGGATCCCGGCTTGGAGTTGCTGGAACCAGCCCACAGATTTGTGGGGAATTTTGCACATTTCTCATTGCAGACAAGTGGTAGACAGTTTCCTTTATGTCATGGCCGGGTGGCAGGGAGAAGTGGGGGTGGCTAGGTCTCAGTGCCAGCCTGTGTTGGACCCGAGTTTGGTCAGTCTGGCCCATAGCTGCACAAAGTTTGCCACCCGCTGTCTGATGCAAATGAACAGCAAGGCTGTGGTGAAAGGGAAGAGCCAGGTGACATTTGAAAGGACAAGGCTGGGGCATGACTTTGCGTGTGTGGGGAAACAAGCCAGCCTGTTTCCCTCTCTTGCTTGAGGCGGCAGGACTCCAGCACCCGTACAGGTGGCCCTGTTGAGCCCCCACAAGCATGTGGCCATTGCCTTCGGAGGAATCAACGGCCGCTCTCGCTGACATGCTGGGTGCCTTGTGTCTTCCCCGTGTGGTGCCAGCCTTTGTGACCTCAGCACCCCTCAAGTGGCCTTTGCCACTGAGCCCCTGGATACATGAGATGGGGGGGCTCAAAGACTGGACCCCAGCGGCCAAAGAGGCCCCAGCAGCGTTCACCCCCCATCGGCTCTTGGGAAAGGGGCAGGGTCCTGAATGGGTGCATGGCTTGGCTCAGCAAGCATCGCCCCAGTGCTCACGCCATCCCCAGGCCCGTACAAGGAGCTGGCTGCAGTCAGCATTGTCAGGTTTTAAATATGAAGTTATGCAGGGTTTAAATTACCCCTTGACTCTTGCAAAAAAAAAAAAAATTGGGCTGCCCATCACGATGCCCTAATAACATTGGAGACTGCCCAGGGTTATGATTTACACATCTCTTACGGGGGCGGCTCAGCCCCCTGAACTCCCCCACAACTTGAACCCTGAAATGATCGAAGGGGAAGCTCAAAATGATCACGTTGCCCACTGCAAAAATATGCGAAGGAGTATGCAAAAAACACCCTTTCTTATTGACTTTAGATTGCTCTCTGTAACCTGGCAGTGAGTGGGTGAGGATGGGGTCATCACAGATGAAGCACTTCTTTATTTGAGGCGAGCAGTCATGGAAAAGTGCTGGTGGCCTCCCCAAAAGTCAGCCAGCCCCCCCCGAGAGCGGGTTTTGCAGAGGCTGCCTCCGAAGTGACTGCACAAATACATCTCTCTTGGACATTTCCCTTCTTCTGGGGGGGGGACGTGGAACAACGGTGCAGAAGACCTCCCGGCCGGCAGGGGGCGCGGGCGGTGCCGCGGGGCACTCGCGAGGGGGGAGGGGCCGCCCCTGCTGAGGCGGGGCGCTCCTCAGCGCTTCCGGCAGCGGGCGGCCATGGCTGCCGGACGGGTCGTGTGAGTAGCCCACTCCGGGGGTGAGGGTTTATGAGGGGACAGTCTGGGGAGACAAGCAGAACGGGATAGTAATAGCCAGGGGCGGGAGGAGGGCACGGGCCGGGTGTCAGTCGCCGTAGTGCGCATGCGGGGGGGCTGTTCTGCGGGGTGCGGGAAGGGGTCGGAGCGCTCGTGTGCGCGCTGCGGTTGTTTTTTTTTAAATAGTTGGGTCCTCATCTTTATCCCGTTCGCACCCGTGTGGCGGCTCGGCCT